AAGACTTTTATGTAAAATGGAGACATGTAAAGTTATGTGTCTTCAGCTATGTTGTTCACAAGAGGTAAATAACTCAAGATAAGGAGTGGAGTAGATCCTGGAAACTATTTGAGCTGGAAAATTGCATTTGACTTTCTTTTTAAAGCATCATTAACCTGTCAGAACAGAGCTGAAAGTATGTGTGATGTGAATGTATTTTGTTCCAAAGAGTTGATAAGATGTGGCCACAGGTATTTCTATCACTCTTCTAATAGAGGAGCCATTTTATTACAAGGAAAATCTCAAATGAATCTGTTTCCAAATCCATAACTTGTGGGGATGGCTTGATAGGAATCTGGCCAGAGGTTATCCATGAATTGCCAAGTGAGAGAGAAGGGTCCTGGTGTGCCTCTGGAACCTCATTGCCCTTTGCCCAGATGCCAAGCTCAGCTCCATCTCATGGCTATGTGGCTATACCCTGGAGCAAGGACACTGTCCCAATGCCGGAGCTGACCGGCAGACCCTGAATGATGGATGAATGATTACTTGACACACATTTCTGTGAAAGAGAAGGCTAAGGGGCTGATTTGCTTTAGGAGCAAATAGCCTTGATTGCCTGCCTTCTTAGGCTTTTATTGTAACAACAGCTTGAACTAAAATTAACTATTAGATACAATCAGCAGGGTAAGTATCCTTGAGAAAGCACATGCTTCTATAAGGTCGGGTTTGAAGACTAAACATAGAGATTCCAGTAAAACACCCAAGAGCTCGGACTTGTTGGGAAAAGTCAAGGCAGAGGCTGCCGCCTTCACAAGGTCCCCCTGAGAGGCCCTCAACCTTTCGGAGAATCTTCCTTACAGACTTTCTAACCATGTCCCGTGCTTCCCCACATCCCAACCTGTGAATTTCAGGTCAGGGAATGTACACTTGCAAAATGGAACATGCTCCTTTGTCAAATAGTCACGTGGTTCCTAAAGAATGATCCTTTTGCCGAAACTGGTTTGGCTCAGTGGATGGAGCGTCGGCCTGCGGACTGAAGGGTCCCAGGTTCGATTCCGGTCAAGGGCATGTACCTTGGTTGCGGGCACATCCCCAGTAGATGTGCAGGAGGCAGCTGATCGATGTTTCTCTCTCATCAATGTTTCTGACTCTCTATCTCTCTCCCTTCCTCTCTGTAAAAAATCAATAAAATATATATGTAAAAAAAGAATGATCCTTTACATTCGAACCCTTTCCAATATAGATGTTATTTTATTTAAACTTAACACTCCTCTAACAAACAAAAACCAAAACAAACAAGCAAATAAAAACTTAACACCCCTCTGTGCTCAAACACCAAATGGGAAGTCTTGGTATATCTCTGCCGGAAGCCGTTCCACCCTTGCTGCTTGACACAGTCGCTGTAGGGAAGAAACATCTGCACAGCATATGTTTCAAGGGACCTGGCGTATATGGCATACTGTTCTTAATATGTTTGCTCCCCTTCTTATCGCTATGTGTTATAACCAGAGCCACCTCCCGGAGAAAGGTTGTTTCCCCAGGTGGGAATGTTTCCCTGGAGTTAGGGATTAACCGGGCTAGCGAAGGGAATAAATCAGTAAAACCCCTTAACTACGAACAATCACGCTTAAGCTACATAATCCTTACTTAGGCCATAGAATAGAAAAATCTCCTTCAGTTATTTCCTAATAGCTTAACAGTAGAATAATAGGATAATGACCTTGGAATAGAGACAACAAACTAGCCCTTATAATGGAACACAGAGACTAACCTAGAGAAGATTAAAATCAACAGAGCTAGATAGAGATAAGATTTTTATCAAAGGTCAGATAAGAAACTATAAACATAAAACAAAGAACTGTAGAAGGTAAAAGGAGGACCCAAAATATATGATGATGTAACTATAGAGGCATGCTTATAGGATCAAATGGTATAAATACAGATGTAACAGGACAATAAACTGAGAACCTGGCTATGCTGATCATTTGAACGCTGTCTCCGTGTTCTTCATTCTTCACCGACTCTGTCCACACCTTTGGGAACCCCTGGACCGCTGGGGCTGAACCCCGGCAATCTCCATGGTACAAGTTCCCCAATTTGAACACAACTATAAGACCTACACCAACAAAGAGCCTAGTACACAGTTAGTGTCCCAATCCATGCTTGTTGGGTGCTGATCCTAATAATCAAGGTATATTCTGACCTACAGAGCACAGATTTGGGGTGATATATTGAAACTACCAAAATCATGTTGCCGGTGTGATGAAACCATCACCAGTCTAATGCCAGAGCCACATGACCCTTGTTCACATTACTGAGAAAAAGTTAAACAGTTGTGTACAGATCCCTTTGTTTTTGTATTTTCTAGGGCAAAGTCTACACTCTTCTAATCAGGAATCTCCTGGGAATTTCTTCTGAGACACTCAGTCAGTTGGATTAACCATTGTACAAAGTTGTGTCTATTAACACTCACTTCTTTGTCAATTATAATTTGCTCTGATTATATGACAGATTTTCTGGCCTAGGTATATAATAAAATACCTGCCTTCAAAGAGCTCATAGTCGTTGGGATACAGGCAAAACAGAAAACATCAGCCCATAAATAAAATGAAATGCTCAATTGTCCTGCGAGTAACATAAGAACATATTACACAACAATATAAGGATATTCTATGTCATCATATCAGTGGAATATATATATATATTTACTTACTGTCTTATATTTCCCCACTACAATAGAAGCTCCATGAGGGAAACATTTTTGTGTGTATGTGATTCAATGTTATTTCCTCAGTGCCCAGCATGTAATAAATAGTGCTTAATAAATAGTCATTGACAGAATGAATGAGAAATCCAGCTCTTAGAATAGACAGAGAAAGGGAAAGCTCCATGGAGTGCTCCCAGATGAGCCTTAACTTCATTAAGCTTTTATTTAGCTTGCTTTATAGCAATCTATAGATTTTATTTAAAAATTCATTATTTGTAGACTAAGAAGTGTTGTAGGCATTTAGACAGACATGAGCAGAGCAAGAACGATGAGCCAGGTAGAGAAGGTCACCAGGATGGAAAGCCCCAGGTGCCTAGCAATAGACAATCAATTGTAGGGTGGGACCTTGTCCCCGGGATGACTTTCTCTCCCCTGGCATATTGCTGGTTGGGCCATTGTGTGGTTTGGACCCCCTGACCTTTTGTCCTTAGAGAGAATATCTGTGCCTCAGTTGTATTTCAGCTCCAGGCCCAGATAAGCAATAAAATCAGCCATAGCTGGCCCTAGCCGGTTTTGCTCAATGGTTGGAGTGTCACCCCTCCGACTGAGGGGTCCCAGGTTCAATTCTGGTCAAGGACACGTACTTCCTTCGGTTGCAGAATCCACAAAATATCAGCTGACATCAGGACCAGCGTGATCTCCTTGGCCACTTGAGGGTCCTTCCTGGACTCTGAATTATTTCCTAGCCAGAACCCAAGTACCAAGGTTGCTGAACCCAGGTTTGATCTGACCCCACCGGTCATACAACTGGTGCCATTCCTGCCACCTACAACAGAAAGAAATGTGCATATAATTGAAATAGAAGGTAGGGGAGGATAAATATTTAAGTTGGGTGTTAGGATCCATGTGACCTGCTTAGGTCATTGCTAAAAGGAAAGGTTTGTCCTAGAATCAATGGTTTTGAAACATTGCTTTAGAGCTAAAGAACTCTATTTCCAAACAAAACCCTAATACATGAAACAGATAAACAGATAAAAGCAGAGCTGTTTTAATTGACCTTGGGGTGGAATAAGAGATAGAGGAGGTCCTCTTAGTCTCCTCACCCCCACCAGAGAGCAATGGCTTCTGAAGGATTCTAAGAACATAATTTGAAAACACTGTATTGAGAGAACTTTAGAGTCTTTCCTTCCTCAAAATTATATTAATGGAGGCAGCTGAGGAAGACCTGGGCGCTGGTTCTGGTGTCTGCCACTTTAAACTGAGGGAATACCAGGAGTCAGCTCCCTTAGAAGAAACACAACACCACGTGCTGGGCCTGGGCCAAGGCCAATGCCCCTTCCTGGGCCAGACCCTCGGAACTAGAAGCCACATTTCTCTAATCCAAGACTGATGAGGGCTAAATAGCTTGGGTGGCCTAGTCCTGACTCTAGCTTGCCCAACTCCCCCCAAATTCAGAACTAGAAGCATCCAAGATCACTTGGCAATTTCTCTGGGCTTCTGAGTTAATCAAAATCTTAATACACAAATAGTCTGGCGCCAACTCAGATGGGAAGAGTCTGATTAATTTGTCACCATCCTGCACCTTGTACAGGGTCGATCTGTTTTAGTTGTCCAGAGAGGAACCAGCCATGCAGACGGAGGACTCAAAGAGAGTTAATGAAGGAACGATTTACCAGAGTGTGATCAGGTTGAAGGGAACCATCAAAGGATTGTAAAGCAGTCAGGGACTAGCAACAGTACTGGCTTATAAAACAAAGAGAGCCATCATCCAACAGTTGTTGCTAGGGGGACTCGGTAAAAAAAAAAAAAGCCACTTCCATGTTACAAGTAGGAAAACAAGGAGCCAAGATATGGAATCCCCACGAAAGGAATTTCTGAAACATCCCGCGGCAGACAAAGGCCTTTAAAGACTCCACTTGGGGCTGGCTAAGCCACCGGTCTCACTTTCATCTTCCCTGCCACCAATCGAAAAGGACCAGGACTTGACTGCGACGGGTTAGGACTACAACTCCCGGCCTGCATCTCTGTGTTTACCTCCAATTTTTTCCCAACACTAGGATTAAAGTTGCTTCCGGAAGAATTGCCTTTCGGGACTTGGAGTTCCTGCAGTTAGGGCCAGCCACCATCGCAGCGTGCTCATTGGCTCCGAGGTCTCCGCCCCCTTCCCCTCGCCGTACGACGGTGTCTCACGTACACACACGTAGCACGTGCCAACGCCCCTCCCTAGGCCTAGGACGCAGGCGCGCGCACGCTCCCCGGGCCCGGTAGGCGGGTGTGGGGTGGGGGGTGGGGAGGCGGAGGAGGAGGAGGGGAGGGAGGGAGAGGGGTTAGGTGTCTACAGTATTGGGTACACGACCGAGGGCCGCTGAGAACGCGCAGACCTGGCTTCCTGGCGGGCGAAGTCTGCACTGAGCCTAGGGGTTGGCGGGAGGGTCCGGAGCCTGGTCAGCGCGCCCTGCAAGTAGGAGTCGGGCCCCAGAGACTCGGAGGAGAGCCGGGGAGAAGCCCGGCCTAGGCCCCGCGGAGATGTCTGGCTGCGGCGCTTGTAGTTGTGGAGCGGTCGCCGCGCGGCTCATCACTTCCTCGCTTGCCTCCGCGCCGAGAGGTAACGAAGTAGTACTTCCCCTGAGCCTTGGGGCCCGGGCTGTCCCGGCCGACGGTGGGGACCCGGGGAGAGCCAGAGGCCTACCCATGGCGAGAGAGTGCGGGATGCGCGGCGCTTCGCCTGGCGCTCTGCTTTGCCGGGAGAGCGGGGCTCTGCCAGCCTCTAGGGCAGCTGTTCCTCAAACTGGAAGTAAACTACGGTGCTCCCCCGCTCGCGCACTTTCCAGCCTCCGGACTTGAGGGCCAGAATGGGGCCACTTCGCAGACACCCCGAAAGGCACAAAATGCTCCTCCTCTCGTTAAAAATGTCCCCAGGCCCTACGCAAAGCTCCTCCAAAGACTGCTGCCTGCCCCGCTGCGATTCCTCGTCCGGAGCGCGACCGGGCTCCCTGCGGGCCTGTCGGGAGCTCAGAGGAGGCTCCGGTGGGGGGCTGCCCGGTGGGGGCCGCGGGGCGCCGGGCCGCTGTCCCAGCCGCAGGCCGCGCGGGGCGCGCCGAGTCACTGCCATTGTGCGGCCGCCGACGCCCGCAGGGACGCAGGTTGCGGGAAACTTGCCGGGGAGCGGCGGGGGCTCGGGAAATGGTTCAGGTGCTCAGGTCTCGGCAGTTGTCATCACAACTGGACGGTCTCCTAGTCTCTCCGGGGCGGCGCTGTTTGTTTGCCTCTCCTTCTGTTTATCAGCAGCTGTGAAAGTGGCACTGCAGCCGGGAGGTCCCGGAAAAGAAACCATGTTTTCTCTTCCCCGAATTTATGACTCTCTCAGGCTGGATCCTGTTATAATCACCTCACTTCTAGACACACCCGTTTCACTTTGGGGTTGACAGCTTATGACCCTTGGATAAATTTTTTAAAAGCCCCCTTTTTCTAAATGTTAGGTTAATGATAAAATTTTTGTTGTTTACTACATGTGCATTTTTTCTGACAGTTTATTTCACAGAGGAATTAAATGAGCATGAGGGCAGAAGCATTTGTAAAGTGATATATAAATGTAAAGGAGTGAGTTTAGTCCCAAGACTTTGTTAAACCTGAGCAAGTACATGCCCCTATTCCAGGAATTTGAGTTGCAAACACTTGAAAGTGACAGATTTAACCCTTAGAGTGCCCGGGAGCTTGATCGCGCTCCTCCTGTCTTTCGCCAAAAGTGCCAAAAGTGCCGGGAGCGCTGTCAAAGCTCCGAAATGGCGTCCAGTTCTAAGTCTGCTTTTACTTTTATTAGTGATGATGATATTGCTAAATATGTCAACGTAGTAAAGGTTTCCTTAAGTTTTTGAATATGTAACTTCATTTACTTGCGATTCATAATTTTTTTCCTAAACTGTAAAATCAGCAAAAATGCCTTGGCAATTTTAGTATAGTCCCTAGGGTATTGGTTGGCACTCAAAGGGTTAAATGTTTTCCTTGACATGTGTTTGTTGAGGGCCTGCTGGGCTGTGTTGGCGCTGGAGGTAGAATGGTGAACAAGGCCTCACCTTCAAGTTTCAATCTGGTAGAGCAGACAATAATATTGTTTCTCGGAATGGACAAAGTATATGTGTGTTCAAGGTCATTATAGAATTTCATATTTTTACATGACAAACAGCAAAATACTTTTCACATTGATTTAAGACTTTCCCAAAACATAATTACATAAAATGTTTATTTTTCATAGTAGAAAAGTCTAAACTTTTCTATTAAAAGTCTATAATAATATAGAGATATTTTCTTTAAGGACTTAAAAAAACACCAGGAGGATTATTTTTATTCAAAACTCCTGAAAAAAAGGAAGAAAGGCAAAAGATAGAAAAATCTGAATTGAACTTTAACTAGTTTATTCTTATAAACAGTAGAGTTAAGAATTTCAACAACATAATAAAAACAAAAGAACTTGATCAAATTAGTCTTCTAACACAAAATTGTAAAATGAATTAAGAATAAAAGGGGACATTTCAGAGCTCTGAAGTACAGTGTTATTCTTTATTTCCATTGGTCTGTCATGTTAGACTTTAAATATGTTATATGGTAGTTTGAAAAATTATTTGGAAAATTAAATTTGTCATCCTAGATACTGGATCTATTTTCTTTTCCTGATGTCCTATGTGTACCCAGTTTAATGTGTTTTTCCTCATTAGTTTCTTTGAATATGAAACCTATGGTAAAGAGAAATTTTAAATATTTTTTCTACCCACGTCACGTGTATTTTTAAATTTTAGTGTATATTTTAAAAAATGTGCTTTGCATGTATAAGTAAATTTGTTTTCTAAATATGTGTATTCAGAAATGCTTGATTCCATTTAAAAGATTCTGAGTGGCAGTATTTGGTCTGAATTTGGCTGTGAGAATTGTAGGATCAGAATTGTGATTTCTGGCTGCTTTCTGTCCTTGTCTGTTTAAAAGGTGTTACCTCATGAAGCTGTAATGATATGAAGATGCTTGAACATGTCCATAATTTTCATGATTGTTACATAATATGCCTAGACTATAATTTTAATTCTCTCTTTCTCTGTAGTTAAATACAGTACAGTTTAAGTAAGGCAAAGTGAATAAATGATACAATATCTTTATTTCTTTTTTTTTCAATATCTTTAGTTCTTAACGTTTCTGTTTTGTTGGCGTGTTCATCTTCAGAGCAGCAGACTAGCCTTAGTGAAAACCCGTCAAACATTTTTAAATTTGAGGAAAGCTATCATAGGAGTGATGCTATTTTTTTTTTAAAGAAGTATTTCAAATTCATGAAACAATAACCTGGGCATAACATGAAAATTTGAGGTTAATAAAAGCAGTAAGCATGTACTAAATTGCTGATTTTGTTTGTGAGTTTTGAATTTTCCCCCAATTTGTGTTAGAGGCCAAGTGTTTAAGTGATCATTTACCTTGATTTGCCATTTCATCAATCGTTATGCACTTAAACAGTGTCACAGCAAATAGTTTAAATTTTTCATTAGTTCTATATTTCTAAAATATAAATTAAAGATTGGTCTATCTTTTAAACTGAATCATTTGTATGTTTTGGAGGATGCTTAATTCAAGATTGAATATAGGCAGTCAAATATTTAAAAGTTGAATAAATAACTCACCTACTTTGTAATAGCCCGAAAATAAGTGTACCTTATTCTAATATTTCTTTTTAAAAACACTTGCTCTGAAACTCAGAAAGCTTTATCTATATAACAGAAGTTTGTAAATGGTTTAACTTTTAACTGTCTTTTGTCATGGCTGCCAAGTAATCTTTTGAAATACACTTCACAAAAATACTTTTCTTTTTGGCTTTAGGATTTTTTCATTTGGAGTTTACAGGCCTCCAAAAGGGTCTGGGGATAGAATTCAGAGGTTCCATGAACTTTATTTTCACTAATCTTGATGTGAAATACAGCATTTCCTTCAATTCTGAATGAAGGCAGCAAATCTACAGTAGCCGCAGTATCTGAATTTGTCACCAATCAAAATTACAAATATTTTCATGTCATTACAGTTGCATATATCTCAGAATATATTGTTTATACTTTTCACATCTTTGAAATCATGGTAGTTATAATAGCTGTTAGGTCTTACTTAATTCTGTTAGTAAAGAAGAATATTTTTTAAATATTTTGATAACTTCAGTATAATTGGTTTTCTTTATTGTGTATTCTATACATTTAAAAACATTCTGAGAAGGGGCCTGTCTGTAGGCTTCACCTGACTGCCAAAGGGGTTCATGGCTTAAAAAGGGTTAAAAACTCCTGATTAGTTTGCTGCAATGATTTCTGTGAAGATTTATATGATTGGTGAATGGTTATTTAAATTGTTTAGAAGTACGTACAGTGGTTTAAACGTGTGGTTTCCAGACCAGCAGCATCAGTATCACCTGGGAACTTGTTAGAAATGCAAGTTCCACCTCATACCTTCTGAATCAGAACCAGGGAAGGTCCCCTACTATGTTTTAACAAGCTCTCCAGGTGATTTTGATGCGTGCTCAAGTTTGAGAGCCATAGGTTTAGTATTAATGGCATCTTGTTGGTATAGCAGCTATAGCCCATAGATTATAGAAAGTTAAAACAGCACTACAGTACCATACCATTAGGGCCAGCAAAGAAATTCTTAAACTTTGAAGTTTAAATGACACAAACACGTTTTTCAGATAGTATTTTCTGGGGTGACTGTATAGTTGCATTAATAAGTTATTTAAGGGGACTTATTTTTCTTTCTATTCAAGTAGACTTTAAAAGGATTATGTTCACAGTTTTTATTTCTCTTAAATTTCCAAAGATAATTTCCTTTCAGCTTATTTTCTAATATTAGGTACTGTAAATTGTTAAACACTATTTTAAAAGATATATTTTATTGTAAATGGGAAAAAATATATCCACTGTATGTGATAATTCAGGGTTGTTTTGTCTAAACATCTAAGTAAAATAGCCTCACATAATTTTGTTATAATTGTAGTTTTCTTTTTGAATACATTGTAATGGCTCAATTTAAAAAGCTAGATTACATAGATTATAATTTTATTTTGCTACCTTTCATTTTAATTTATTATGAACATTTTCATACACACACAAAATAGACAATGAACTGCCAAATACCCATCACCCAGCCTCAATGTCCATTAACTTTCTGCATTTCTTGATTTCCTCTCCCCATTATTTTTTCTAGACTTGATTTTTATATTGTCATAGTCTTTAAATCATATTCTGTCCTTGGAAAAACATTAAACATGTTTAGCTTAAAATGTATGAACTACCTTAAATCTCATTTTTATGAGGGAGTAATGGCAATTGTCATTTACTGCAAAAAATGAAATGTTGCATTTGAAAAAATTTGAAATGTCTTTTGAAAACATTACTTAAGAGAAATCATCAATTGTATTTTTTAAAATTAATTTTCAAGTTTAATAGTGTTAAGCAAAAATAGAAATTGGGGTGTCAAACTTTAAACCGTTTTCGGTATTTATATAGAGATGAAAAAATTTGGTTCCTCTTATTTGTATCTTTGCCGAGAAGTTTGATGCATTCAGTTTTGTACTTTGTGGAACAGATGATGGCCTAGGGCAGCAATTTTCAACCTTTTTCATCTCATGGCACACATAAATAATTACTAAAATTTTGTGGCATACCAAAAAACATACATTTTGCTGATCTGACAAAAAATAGGTATACTTCTGATTGATTTATAAAAAATAATAGTAATTACCTACCCTTTTTGCTCCAAAATGACTTAAAGTTTGTGTGTTTATTTTTTAAATTTGTTGATTTTAGAGAGGGTAGAAGGGAGAGAGAAACATCTTATTTATTGTACCACTTATTTATGCATTCATTAGTTGATTCTTGTATGTACCCTGACTGGGGATCGAACAAGCAACCTTGGTGAATCAGAATGATGTTCTAACCAACTGAGCTACTCAGCCAAGGCTCAAAGTGACTTTTTAAAAAATCAGGTGCATATACTTGTATATAAAGCTTTCTAATACCAAGAATTAACCAGTCAGACCCAACCTTATGCGACGTAACCAATAAGATGCAACTCTGTTATATGGCCTATATATTTATGGTTCAAGATAAAGCATTCACACTGGACTGCTGTTGTTATGTTGGCTGTTGTCATTTTTTTATTTAACAATCTAAGGGAAAAGAGGTCAGTGCCCCTGCTAAATAGTCAGGTATTGCACATTTTAGAAATTCTTGTGACGCACTGGTTGAAAATCGCTGGCCTAGGGTGATAAATAGCTAAAGAAATTAGTTATTCTAACATTGCATACTGTTGGAAAATTGGAATTAATAAACTAGTTATATAACTAAGCAATTTATTTGTTTGAAGGACTTAATTTTAAACCAGTTTTTGGCTTTGGATACAATACATACATATGTGCATGATCTCCTAAAAGCTCTAACAGGTGTAGAAATAAAAATTTAAAGCCTGAGTTGAGAATTTTGCAGGGAATTAAATGAGGGAGGCAAAAAAATACAATATGTATCTTAAATTTATTTGAATATTAACATAAACACACATACCCTTTCTGTTGTTTATTTTATTATCTCCTAAGAGCACTCTGGTAAACTGATGGGGAACTTCCTTCTTGGCAGTTCATTAATGTAGGTTAGCTTATGCAAGGTTCTGAATATCCCTTCAGTACTGAAATATATGGCATTTTGTTTAATCTAGGATCATTCAATTTTCTTGTGTAAGGAATACTTTTAAAGACCAGCTTGGGAAATGCTGCCTCATAGTATGCAGTATGGCTCTTTTGTTGTTGCCTATAATTTATTTTGGATTTATTTTGTATTTATGTAAGAAAAATGAGGGGTCAGCAAACAATGATCCCATGGATCAAATCTGGCCACACCCATTTGTTTACATATTGTTTACATTTACTTTCCTGTTATAGGCAATAGACTGAGACTATGTGGCCCACAAAGCTGAAAATATTTATTATCCTGGTCCTTTACAGGAAAAGTTTGCTGAATAATAACTTACATTCTATTAAAGAATTTTAACTTTCTGTCAGAAAGTTAAAATCCTTGAAAGCAGAATGGTGGTTACACAGTATTTACTGAATTCTATTTTTTTCTGTAGGATTGAAATATTTCATTAGGCCAGGCTGAGGACCCCCCCCCCCCCCCCCCCCCCCAGTGCACAAATGTCGTGCGCCAGGCCTCTAGTATAAGAAGAATAAGAATATAGGACATAAATGGTCTTTTCCCCCTACAAGCAAGGCAGATGTTGAACTACTTATCTCAAACTTTGAGTCACTCATTGTTATGACCTTGGTGGTCTTTCCTCACTTCCAAAAGACAGGCTTGGGAAGAAAAAAAATTTTTTACTCACCTGGAATCTGTCCAAGGCCCAGGTCTGGCCTGTATTTGAGAGGGCTTTGCCTCTAATGATATTAGTTTATTTACCAGTTTGTACTACTGTGAAAACTAACTTTTTCAACCTCTTGTGCTTAACAGATTTTTGTTTCCAGGGTATTTATTGAAAGAATGTTAATATTTGATGTACAGACTAATAAATTTTTTATACTTTCAGGTATTTCTTGTGGTCGCATTCATATACCTGTTTTAGGAAGGCTTGGGACCTTTGAAACTCAGATTCTACGAAGAGTTCCTTTTAGAACCTTTACAGAAACACCAGCATGCTTAGCCTCAAAAGATGGAATAAGTAAAGATGGCTCTGGAGATGGAAATAAGGTATTGGCATCTATGTACATATTTGAGTTCCCTTGTTTAAGCAATCTATATACATAAAAGCCTAAGCAACTGTTATGACCGGTTGGGTTGACCAAATGACCGGTTGCTATGACAAGGCACTGACCACCAGGTGGCAGACGTTCAATGCAGGAACTGCTCCCTGGTGGTCAGTGCGTTCCTACAACCAACCTCCCGCGGTAACACCCCTCTCCCCCCCAAAAAAAAGCTGTAAAGTAGCTTCATTAAGTAACCTATGTAATTAGTCTGTAGGGTTGAATTAGGAATAGCCATCACTTCCTACTTTCATACAACTTTTACAACTCATAACTGTAAACCCCACTTCATCCTCTACTAAAAATCTTGGATATCTTTATGACAATGCTGGGCTACTCTGTAGCTAGCAAGTAGATAATTGGTGATTGTATTGGGTCAGTGAATTATCAAATTTTTTATTATGTTAATTTGACTGACACTTGAGTTAATATTAAATGCGAGACAAAATGCTTGGTGCTTTCATATTTGTACTTAATCCTAACAGTGACTCTGAAGTAGGTGATATCTTTATTTTAGAGATGAAAAAAGTTAGATTCAAGAAAGTGAAGAATCACTACTTGCCATGGTAATAACACCCAATTCAATTTAATTGAAATGTAGTTTTATATTTACAGAAATTTTTTTCCTAGTTCTTATTGAGTCATTAAAAGAAAACTTTTTATTATACATGATGGCACATACCTACATGTGCCAGCAATAGTAGAAATATCAATTATGCAAATGATTTCATTCTAGAAATTGTAAAAATTGTAAGATTAATTATAAACTATATTGTTTATATTTGTTTACATATAAAATGGTTGCCCGAAATTAATAATTGACACTCTCCTTTTTCCTTCTCCAAAACCTTTAGAAATCAGCAAGTGAGGGAAGCAGTAAAAAATCAGGCTCTGGGAATTCTGGGAAAGGTGGAAACCAGCTACGCTGCCCTAAATGTGGTGACTTGTGCACACATGTAGAGACCTTTGTGTGTAAGTATTACTTCTATTGTTGTTCTTTTTCTCTACCTTTTCTATAAATTGTTAACTGCATAGAAATATATAAATTATATAAACCGAGGTTATTTTCTTCCTGAACTTACATGATTCTCTCCTATGTTCACCAGATACTAAAAATCCCCAGGACTAGTAATATTTTACACTGTGTATAGGAGAGAATTTAAGAAAACTACTTGCTTCTTTATTTTGGTTAAGTGTTTATTTTAAATTTGGATCTTAAGAATTTTTTATTATACTTTATTTGTTTGTATTATATATTATATCTGTAAAATAATTCAAGTTTATTGAATGAGGCCCTGGCCATGTAGCTCAGTTGGTTAGAGCATCATCCTGATACGCCAAGGTTTTGGGTTCAGTCCCTAGTCAGGGTACATACAAGAATAAACCAATGAATGCTTAAATAAGTGGAACAACAAACTGATGATGTCTCTCTCTCTCTCTCTCCCCCTCTTTCCCTCTCTCCCCCTCCCTCCCTCCCTCCCTTCCTCTCTCTCTAAAATCAATTTTAAAAATTTATTGAATGAAAGGCTTTGCTTATAATTTATAAAACAATAAAAAAATAAGTTGTTGAAGGGGTAGCATTTAGTGAATGAAATAATATAGTTCTGGGAGGAGGGATCTGTGATTGATACACATTTGATTGAAAAAAGAAACTGTATTAGGTTACCATGCAGATATATACCACAGTCAAATGTAGAAAAACACAAGAAAGTATAAGTTCTGTGATCCCAACAGGGTACTCTTTCTTTGATATAAGAACACCAAATATTTTTAGAAGCTAAAGCTATTAAGTTCACAGAAGTGCAAAACACTAAACAAAAACACTTTATTTTTAAGAAAAAAGTACATTTTTTTCATTTTCTGTTCTTGGCCTCAATTTTCATTCTTTCCAGTGGAATCAAAACCTCTTGAACCCCTTTCAGTGTCATCCAAAACTTGAACTTACTCTATTTCTGGTTTTAAAAATCCATTCACAAATGAGCTGTGTAATTTGGTCACCCTTTTTTACTTCAAACTTTTCTTTACCAAAATTAAACAGTACAACAAGATTTGCTATAATTTTCATTTATGACACCAGCTCCTACATCTGTGAAATGTTTGCAGCTAAGACAGAACATGAAACTACTCTTCCATAGCACCCAGAAGGAAGAGCTATCTGAATGTTGGTTTTCGCAAGGGTTTTCTCTATAGGTGGTACTGTATAATCATAGGCACTGTACCGGTCATAGCCTGCTACCCATGCAGATCCCTTGGTCGGGCAGTGGCATGCTCCAAAAGCCCGGCAAAGCCACTTGCTGAGAGATGGCAGGTATCTCTTCAGAGCACAGCATGGCAGAGCAGAACAAGAGTGGTGAGGGGGGTGGGGAGAGAGGCAGAGGGGGAACGAGAAGGTGCAGGGTCGGTTTTTGTAACCATTAAGCTATACAAGAACCAAGGCTTGCTTATTCTGTATTTATTATTCTGTTCTTCACCTACCTATTGATCGTGTCATAAAACTGGAGAAGGGGTGCCGAAACCGGTTTGGCTCAGTGGATAGAGCGTCGGCCTGCAGACTGAAGGGTCCCAGGTTCGATTCCGGTCAAGGGCATGTACCTGGGTTGCGGGCACATCCCCAGTAGGAGGTGTGCAGGAGGCAGCTGATCGATGTTTCTAACTCTCTATCTCTCTCCCTTCCTCTCTGTAAAAAATCAATAAAATATATTTAAAAAAAAAACAACTGGAGAAGGGGTCATTCAAATATTAAGGTGTTTTCCTTCTCTAAGTACTTTTCAGAGGAGCAATGCTCTCAATTCTAGAAAATGTCTGATAATCATGATTCAGACACTAAGAGAAAGAAGAAAGTAACAGTCCTACTTTTGCTTAGTGTCAGTAATTCTCTCTGAAATGGAACAGATATTTTGTTTAATGAATCAAATAACTAATTTCCTATATGATCAGAGTTAATGGTAATGACTTGAGTAAATTACATTATACTAACATGTCAGCCTTCCTATACAGTCCAATTATGAAAAGGTTGATGGTAAGGTGTGGCAGAAGTTTCAGTTTCTGATTATTAACTGGAGAGGATTCTCTGTATTCTAACCCAAATAACTTCAGTTTCACATTTATCAGTGCTATTAATTGGCCACTATATGAAAAAGTACTATATGTAGCATGTTTTTACAGTTTTAGAAAGACTTTAAAGTAGTTCCATTCTGTAGCTGCAATGTTAGAGGTTCTGTTTGTAGTTTTTACCTAGTAAGAGGTCAAAGAGAAAAATCAATCTGAATGAACAGTAATTTGAATTGCAGTATAAAATGAAAGTAGTAGAACTGGATGATATAACTTCTAAATAACATTTTCTATTAAAATTTGGTGTGATATACTAAAATTCTCAAAAATCTGAGAATTGCTCAATTCATAATGGTAATGTCATATTATATATATTTTTTTTTAATATATATTTTTTTTTAATAAACTAGGTCCTCTCAAGATTAAGTTTAGTTTTCTTTTATGCAGTGTTTTCAAAACCTGCCAGGTCACTGTTGTTTAACAGTGATTAAGTGAACACTTTAAATATTAAAGCTATTTTTTTAAAAAAATGAGCACTGAGGGTGATTGTTAACCATAGATTCCCTCCTTCCCTAGAGATTAACATTCTGTAGGTATTGGGTAGGATCCTAGAATCTGTAAATATAATAATGAGACCAAGTGTGGAAAACACTATACACTAATCAGCTCAGTTCTGAGGTGGTCTATTTTCTTTGGGACTTCTAATGGGGGAGGGGGATGTGGAAGAGAAAAGTAAAAGAAGAATACATACTCAAACATCTGTTGAGTCAGACACACTGCTGGGCTCAGAAAATTCACAGATGAGCATGACACTGTTCCTGTTCTCTGATCTTTACTACTGAGGAGTAACAGGCCCCAGCAGTGAGACTAGGCCCTCCTCCTTTGGTTTTTTTGACCCATAATAAAAGTCTCTTCAGAATGAATCCCTTTTGAATGCAGTGGATTTTCTGTCTACTTATTGAAAATTTGGTCATCCTAGTTCTAAATAGTTTTGTTTTATCTTGGGCGATTTATTTTATTTAAATCTGTATTTATATAGTTATTAGTTCATAAACATCTTTTTAAAATATTTTTAATTGATTTTAGAGAAGAAAGGAGAGAGAGAGGAAACACTGATGAAGAAAGAGAAACATTACTTACTTGGTTGCCTCCTGCAGGCCCCCCTATTGGGGATGGAGCCTGAAACCCGGGCATGTGCCTGGACCAGGAATGGAACCGATGACCTCTCAGTGCATGGACCATTAGTTCAACCAACTGAGCTACACTGGCCAGGGCCATAAACATCTTTTTATGTGCTTTTTGTCACTTATAGTTCTTTTATGAATGGCCTGTTTAAGTAATTGTCTACTTTTTTGTCATTTTAAATTATTTTTAATTACCTGAGGAATACACGTATATGTCCCTCTTCATGAAAAAGTAGAGCATTATAGATAAAGTTAAAGATATATTTTGTAATATATCTTCATTGAACATAAAACTTTTTAAAAGCATAAGTGCTATCATATTCAAGTTTTTGTTTTCTTTCAACTCAGCAATGTTTTGAGAGCTATATATGTTAATACATACAGATCTAGTCCTTTTCCTTTTTAAGAATTTTTTTGAGGTTTTAGTTTCTTGTTTTTTTTTTTAATCCTTACCCAAGGATGTTTTTTATTGATTCTAGAGAGAGAGGAAGGGAGAGGAAGAGAGAGAGAAACATCTGTGTGAGAGAGAAACATTGATCGTTTGCCTCCCATATGCCCTGACGGGATTGAACCCATAACCTTTTAGTGTCCAGAACCATGCTCCAACCGACTGAACTACCTGTCCAGGGCTGTGTCTGACTTCTTTTATTTAGCACTAGAGGCCTGATGCACAAAAATTCGTGCAAGAGTAGGCCTTCCTTCCTCCAGCTGCCGGCACTGGCTTCCCTCCACCGGCTTTCCTTCGGCACCCGGGCCCTGGGCTTCCCTTCTCCAGCCGCCAGCAGGCACCCAGGACCCAGGCTGGCTTCCCTCGGGCTGCCCACAGGCACCCAGGGCCAGGCTGGCTTCCCTCCGGCCCCAGCTTCGTCATGAAGGACTTCCGGAATGACACCCAGAAGACACCCGGTTTAATTAGCATATTACCCTTTTTTTATTGTAGATATTTTTAAGGTTCATTTGTGTTGCATTATGTATCAGTCCTTCATTGCTTTTTATGGTTGAATAGTAGTATTTCATTGTCCACTCATCTATTGATGGACATTTGAGTTGCTTCTACTTATTAGCTATTATGAATAATGCTACAATGTCCAGGCCAGTGTGGTTAAGTGGATAAACATTGGCCCACGCACTGAAGGGTCATGGGTTCGATTCCCAGTCAAGGGCACTTACTTAGTTTGCAAGTTTGATCCCTGACCCCATTGGGGTGCATACCGAGCAATGTGTGTCTCTCACATTTTTTTTCTCTCTCTGTCTCTCCCTTCCCTTTCTCTCCCTGTTTCTCTCTCGCCTGTCCTCCCTCCCTTCCACTCTGTAAAAAAAAAAAAAAAAAATAAATTATCTTCAGGTGAGGATTAACCAAAAAAAAGCAATGCTACTATGAACATTTGTGTACACATTTTTTGTGTTTTTACTTGGGCATCTGCTTAGGAACGGAATTGCTGAGTGAAATGGTAACTGTTTAGCTTTATTTAAAAAAATTTATTTTTATTTTTTATTTATTGATTGGGGAAGGGAGGGGGTAGGGAGGGAGGGAGGGAGGGAGGGGGAGAGAGAAAGAGAGAGAGAGAGAGAGAGAGAGAGAGAGAGACAGACATCGATTTGTTATTCCACTTATTTATTTCTCAATTGGTTGCTTCTCGTATGAGAGAGAGAGAGACATCGATTTGTTGTTCCACTTATTTATTACTCGGTTGCTTCTCCTATGTGGCCTGACCTGGGATCAAACCTGTAACCTTGGCATTAACCTTGGCGTATCAGGCGGATGCTCTTACCAACTGAACTACCTGGCCAGGGCCTATGTGTAGCTTTTTAAGAAACTGCCAAACTGTTTTTCAAAGAGACTATACCATCCTACAACCCAACTAACAATGTATAAGGGTTCCAATTATTCCACATCATTTTCAACACTTACCTGTCTTTTTTATTGTAGCCATTATAGGAATTTGATTTATATTTCCCTAATGAGTAAAGATATTAAGCATCTTTTAATGTGTTTATTGGCCATTTGTATGTCTTTTTTGGAGGAAAGAATAGTATTTAAGTCCTTTGTTCATTTTTATAAGACCAGTGCTCTAATCCTGAGCTATAGGGCCCACTCCTATGTTCATTTTTAAATTGGGTTGTCTGTATTGTTAAGTTATGAGTTCTTTATATATTTTGAATGCTAGACTCTTATCCAGATATGTGATTTGCAAATATTTTCTCTCATTCTATGGGTTGTTCTTCCCTTTTAAATGCTGTATAGCAGGAGTGAGCAAATAGTAAATATTTTAGGCTTTGTGGGCCATATGGTCTCTATTGCAACTATTCTCCTTTATAGTTATAGTGCAAAAACAACCACAGACAATGTAAATGAATGAGGACGCTGTGTTCCAATAAAACTTTGTATATGGACACTGAAATTTGAATTTCATAAATTTTCATTGTCATTTTTAGCTCATGGACCTTGCTGTATATATTTAATCTAACAGGTTTGTTTGTAGTAATGTTTGTTTTCTTATAGTGGTATTACTCTTGCTTGTCTTTGTTGAAATAAAATACCATTTTTATAGATACCATTATGAATATATAGAAAATCATCAGAAATTGAAATTAAGAATAATATCTAAGAAAGTTGATTATAATGACTAAGATATACTATTCTTTAGCCCATTTAAAAAATAACTTGTCAAACATGAATAGACTCCCCTCTTTAATTTAGAGCCTTTAGTTGTTTTTATTTTTATGTATGTAATACTTTTTGAATGCTTACTGCACTTATCTGTCTCATAGGGCGGAAAATAAACTTTTCTGCAGTGTTTTGGAAATTTTGTATTGGACCCTGAAACTTGTTTAAAATCATGAGAAACTTTCATTTAAACAAATTTCCTAAAAAAGTTTTTACTAAGGTAGACTTTCTGTTGTTGGCATACTATACAAGCATGTTTACTGGGATCAGTATTCTGTATATAAAGGAATATAGGATACTTGTAGTAATCTTTTAAAGAAAAGAGATTTAACCCAGCCAGAGTGGCTCAGTGATTGAGCATTGAACCAGGAGGTCATGGTTTGATTCCCAGTCAGGGTACATCCTGGGGTTGCAGGCTCTGTCCCCGGTGAGGGGCATGCAGGAGGCAGCCGATTGATGATTCTCTCTCATAATTATGTTTCTATCTCTCTCTACCACACACACTAATAAAAGGGTAATGTGCTAATTAGACCGGACATCTTTCCGGACAAAGCTACGGTGGCAGGGGCCAAGGCAGAGGCAGTTAGGGGCGATCAGGCCAGCAGGGAAGGGCAGTTAGGGACGATCAGGTCGAGAGGGATGTCGGACATCCCCTGACAGGTCCCGGATTGGAGAGGGTACAGGCTGGGCTAAGGGGCCCCCCCCCACATGAATTTCGTGCACCGGGCCTCTAGTATATATATATCTAAACTAATAAAAGGGTAATGTACTAATTAGAGCAGACGTCTTCCTGATGTCCATCCAGACAAAGCCCCAGGAGCTTCGAGGGCCTAGGGCCAGCGGCAGCACGGGAGAGGCGTGCTGCGGGGGAGGAGGCTTCGCCAACGCGAGAGCAGGAGTGGAGGTGGGGCCACCGTGGGAGCGGGAGCGGAGGAGGTGCCTCCCCAGGAGCAGAGGCGGGGCTGTGGGGCCAGGGTCGCGGGAGCAGAGGAGGCAGCACCTCCACGGGAGCAGAGGAGGCGGCGCTGCCGTGGGAGCGGGAGTGGAGGCAGGGCTGCGGGAGCGGAAGTGGGCCTAAGCAGTCAGTAGGACTTCCCCTGAGGGCTTCAGGACTGTGAGAAGGGGCAGGCCGGGCTGAGGGACCCCCCCCCCCGCCCCCCCACAGTTCACGAATTTTCGTGCACCAGGCCTCTGGTATATATATAAATAGAGGGTTTTAGCTGGTTTGGCTCAGTGGATAGAGCATTGGCCTGTGGACTGAAGGGTCCTGGGTTCAGTTCCTGTCATGGGCACGTGCCTGGTTGCAGGCTCGATCCCAGTTGGGGGGCATGCAGGAGGCAGCCAACTGATGGTTCTCTCTCATCATTATGTTTCTATCTCTCTCTACCTTTCCCTTCCTCTCTGAAATCAATAAAAAAAATATTTTTAAAGAAGGTTTTATCCCCTTATAATTTAACAAATTTAGATTTTTGCTCTTAGTTTTTAAGAGTAAAATATGCATTGCAATGCTTTTTTTAAAAAAAAATAAGCATTTCAATAAATAAAATTGAATCTTTGAATTTGGGTATAAGTTGAATATGTTTCAGTGTAAAATTGTATTGCAAATATTCAAGTGGAATTTAAGCAACCCTTTAACAGTAAGCAAAAAAGGATGATTGTTGATGTTTAATCTCTTCCCCTTTGACCTAATTTCTTTAGAGAAATGTTTTGTTTGTATGTTCTCAAGCCAGATTTTCTTGTCACACAGCCTGAATTAAATCAGAGGCTTCTCTGCCCTTTAATCCTTGCCCTGTTTACCATCACTAACAATTGTAAGCTGGTGCCTCATAAAATAGAGGCACTGACTTTTCCCTGTTGATGGGAAATGGTGATCATGTATTTGGGCTTGGGTTAATTGAAGGTACTTGGAATAGTTTGATATTTTCTTTAGGTAATCATTCTGTCTTCTGGTTTAAAATTTGCTGCTATAATTTATCCTGAATGAATTTTTAATTGGCCTGTGTTTAAGAAGGAACACCTAAGAATCAAATTGATTGGATTAATAATTACATTTATGTTTCATTTGTGGGATTGTCTATTGTATAAAATTTAGGTTATTTTCTGAAGATTTAGGTGTATTTGCCAGTGAAGTTTTTCTTGTAATCTGTGTTATAATATTTCCAAAGGAGAGAGATTATCATATTTTTAAAAATTATTTTAAAACTATGTTTAGTTTTATTAAAATTCACCTTAGTTATATTACACAAAAAATATATTACCTAGACCTACCAACATGTAACTAGTTTCTATGCATCTTTTGCTTTGAATCTGTGAATAGTCTGTATGGGTTTCTCTACTATCATGCTGCTTTCTGAGTTCCCTAGTTACCTTTAGTAAAGGTAGACTTAGAAAAGGTTAAGAGTTTATGGCCATATGTCTATATCCTAAAGCTGTGTTTTAGAAAGAGAGAAAGGAAGAAGTCACTTTTGGTTTAACACAGGATATTATGTCGTTGATGTATTGCCATTAAGAAAGCATTTTTACCCTCACTTTTAACTGCCCTTGTGTTGTTTTCAAAAGCTGTATGATTATCTTTAAATGAAGTAAATATGGCTGAGAATATTGTTACTTTGTTAGTTTCTCAGTGGTTTTTAAGTCAGAGACATAGGAATCAGTGGAAGTATTAAAGATAAAAATAAGGAAGGTATGAAATAATTTTATCTTCTTACCAAGTTAGTTTTAGGCTTGAAGAACCTAAAAAATATACTTTTTTATATTTTGGGGAGATTAAAATAGATTTCTCTCTCTCAGCTTCTGTGTATGAAATTTTTAATAATAAAATATTAGGGAAATAGATTAATTTACTTGTATTTTACTTTTTTTACAGTTCACATATTTCAATGAAATAATATTTTAATATTCTTATGGTGGTTTTAAAAATTAACTTTAGTGTTTGGGAAGTTGAAAGGTCAATCAATCTTTTCTCTTAATGTGTTAGATTACAAAATGACAGAACCTAGTGGAAATGAAGAAAATGTAGTTGACTAAATTCATCTATCTTTATCACCTGTCTTAGATGTAAACTAGGCTGTTTGTGGCTAGTGGAGTGAACTACAAGCCTACTTTTTGTCAAGTACATAGTTTTATTTTTCATTGAATCTTTGAGGTGAAATACTGTTTGAGTTATTTCTTTTTCTCTGCTGACTCTTCTTTTACAGCATCCACCCGTTTTGTGAAGTGCGAAAAATGTCATCATTTTTTTGTTGTGCTATCTGAAGCAGACTCAAAGAAAAGCATAATTAAAGAACCAGAATCCGCAGCAGAAGCTGTAAAGTTGGCATTCCAACAGAAACCACCTCCTCCCCCCAAGAAGGTATAAAGTCTTACAAGCATTTGATCTTGAAAGCATTTCATTGCTCCCCTCTCCTCAGTTTATAGTGTATCCTAATACTAGTACCTAAACACATATTCTAAGTTATTAATATGGACTATATTTGGCCAAATTGTTTTTGATATTTGATACTTGGAATTTAGGTATGGAGTTCGTTGCTTTTTTCCCCATGTCATGATTACTCTATTCAGTAGCAATGAAATGTAGTTGGATGATTATTAAAATAGTGTTAATACTAAATTAATCTAAAATGATAACCTTCAAATAGAGCAACTATGGATTTATTTTTGTTAGTTTGACCACCTAAATAATACCAGCCTGCAGTTCCCCTCCCCCCATTAAATTAGTCTATGGTAAAATAGCCTCAGGCTAACAGTGGAAGCGAATAATTTTTTTTATGGCACTCTCCTCGATAGCTGTGGCTTTTGTGTTCTGGGCTCTTTCCAGGAGTCTCAGACAGATTGTGATTTGGCTGTGTGAAACACAACAGAGTGTACCACCAGCCCCATTGGGTGGGTACTTGATGTGCACCTTCCGAGAACAGGGAGCCCTGCTCCTGGGCTGTGTGCCCTGTGTTCTGGCCATGTTTCAGATGTTTGTACTCTTCGCTTATTTCTCATCCTCTGTCTTGGTGTAGCTTTCTTCAACTCTATTTTGATACCAATGCATTTGTCTCTTCATCTAAACTTGCTGTGGCAGATTTAATAATTCATGAGTGTAATTTGTGAAGAATGAAGATTTTTTTAAACCTAATGCATATGGTCAACAACTAAAGAATTTGTCATGTAAAAATAAATGATGTAATAGAAAATGTAGCTATTAAGCTTTATATTCTCCTCTGATTTATATACACTTTAGACATTCGAGTCAAAGTTCTAGAAAATAATTAGGCAATTTAACTTTTTTTCCAGAGTTAGTTAATATTAACAGTTAATTTCTATTTACTGAAAGCTGAAGGAATTTACCCCATGTCCCAAGCTGTTGGCAGTATCCAAGAATCAAATAGAACTTTAGTTTTTTCGAAGAATAAAGCTTTTATATTGCCATGTAGATAAATAAGTAGCTTTAAAGTTAATATCAGAAAAAGCTAAATGCTTGTATTAAAACGCATAGATACTGGTAGTATAATGGCTTTTGATTATATAGTGCCTATTTTTTAAAAGGATACCTTTATGTATTTTTAAAATATATTTTTATTGATTTCAAAGAGGAAGGGAAGTGGGGATAGAAACATCAATAATGAGAGAGAATCATTGATCAACTGCCTCCTGCATGCCCCCCACTGGGGATTGAGCTCACAACCCGGACATGTGCCCTGACCTGGTTCATAGGTCAACAGCTCAACCACTGAGCCACCGCAGCTGGGCAAGGATACTTTTATATATATTGTCTTCGTGAAGAATATTATTCCTATGATTGAGAAAGGTTTAGAAAGGATTAATTGTAATGTTTATATTAATGATAATATCTTTAGACTCTTGGTGGCATATGTAGGTATTCTAAGTGACTTTAATACTAACTTAAAAATTAGGATCAGTGCCATTGTTTATAGAATAGAAACTAGCGTAGCACTAGAAGAGGCCAGTGATACTTTGTTAGGCTAGAGAACAAATAAATTGTGTTTTTGTACATGTAGGGTTTGGGACCTTGAATCATTGCTACATAATGTATCGTGCCCTTGCATTGTGTTTTTGATGATGTGTCTTTGTTCAAACTTAAAACTGGAAGCAAATATGTTCACTGTATAACTTTCTTTTAAATGTGTGTATTTTTATGATAGCTCACATTAAATTATTCATACCTGATTATTTTTCAGATTTATAACTACCTCGACAAGTATGTTGTTGGCCAGTCATTTGCTAAGAAGGTGCTTTCAGTTGCCGTGTACAATCATTACAAGAGAATATATAATAATATTCCAACTAATCTGAGGCAGCAAGCAGAGGTTGAGAAGCAGACATCATTAACACCTAGAGGTTAGTGTTTTGATAATTGACCAAAATAGAGATTACTATGCCTAGAAGTAATATTTATTGCAACTCCTTGTTTTTGTCTTAAAATGCTTTTAGTATAGTACAGCATTTTTCAAAGTACTGAAATGATTTTGGCATTAAAAAAAGTTAATAGATATTAATAGAAAATACCAGAGTGCATTTAACTGTATTGTTTAAAACTTTTTCTTTTAGTTATATGTGCATGGGTTCTCAGTCACAGAGTAAAATGTATTTCTTACCAAGGTTCTCAGTGAAAAATGTTTGAAAGTTACTGAGGTAGAGATTGAGATAACACCTTTGAATTATAGACCTCACCACAACTAGTTCCCCATGAACCTATCTTTGCAGTGCTCTTTTTGACTCTGAGATCTCTTCTCTTTTGAGTTCAGGATACAGAATTTCATTTGCCTAAGTCATATATATATATATATATATATATATATATATATATATATATATATAATGGACCCCAACTACAGTGCACAAGGTTAGGGGCAAATTTGTAAGTGATTCAAAGTATAATTCCTATTAATGATTGATTCTACTATACCAATAAACTGTGTAATCTCAACATTCTGTGCACAATAATGTGTCGTGTATATTTTTTATAGAATAGTTTATTGATTATGGGAAGGAAGGGAGAAAGAGAAACATTGATGTGAGAGCACAACATCTGTTGACTGCCTCCTGCACGAACCCTATCCAGAATTGAGCCTGCAACCTCGGCATGTGCCCTTGACCAGGAATGGAACTGGCAACCTCCATGGTGCACAGGATGATGCTCAACCAACTGAGCCATACTGGCCAGGGCAATGTGTGTTATACTAATAGAATGACTTTATTTTTAAAAAAAACTGAATAGAGTAAAATGTTAATATTTAAAATTTTGTTGTTGTTATGGGCCATGGAGTCCTGATTTCTTACTTAGGCCTACAGCTATCATTTTATATTCTTTTAGTCATCATTTTACAATTTGAGGGAGTTTTGCTAACTACTTACATTTATAAACTACAATATCTTTTGATTACTTTCAGTAGCTACTAAATATAGAACTAGCTCAATGAAAACACTTGTTCACTTGTTGAACTTACTGCAAAGTAGTTATGTGGTAGCATCAGTTACTCTATTTTTAGAAAGCATAAGTCATAATAACTAATGAAGATTTAAAACCTTCATTTTATAAGGTCCAAATAGCACGGCCTAGTCATGAAGCAAAAGGATTTTTTCTGGTTTCTTCAGTCAACAAATCAATAATTAGCTGTTCTAGTTCTAGAAAAATAAATGGTTATGAAGTATTTATAGTATGAGGGGTTTAAACACTTATTGAAGACTTAAATTATTACTACTCTTTTCTTAAAATAGATACCAACTTTATATTTGACAAATGTGAACATTAGCAACTGGACAGCCATCATTAAGTATGCTTGGGTTGTTGTTTTTTAATGTAGAAAGGATGCAGCATATAGATTCTTCATAATGTTTGAAAAGCTAAAGAAAGTTAATGAACATATTCTTTATTTGCAAGAGACAAGAAGTGGACTACTCCTTGTTTGTTCCCCTAAACAAATATATAATATTTTCATGTTGCCATTTTCATCCTCTTTCTTAGAGTTAGAAATAAGAAGACGAGAGGATGAGTACAGATTTACAAGTAAGTGACCTTTCCTCAGGTCCTCTGTAATCATTCTTCCCTTTGAGATTTACCTCAGTGAAGTATGTCAGCAATAGTAATGGGGGACATGTATTTGTTTGTGTATTACCAAGAAAGATGTTGTATATTACATAAACATGTTTATCATATATGGTATATATAACTTTGGAATAGTTTTTCATAACTAATTTGTGTAGTTTGTATATATTGGCTTATTTCAGATAGTTGATTTGATCTATTTTGTTGTATTTTGTAAAGCATAATGTAGAGAGATAAAAAGTATTATATATAGTTTTTCTCCCTAAATGTAGACCTACATAATAACAGGAGTTGTATTTGTAAAAATCTATAGTTTGCCATATATATTTTTTTTCTTATTTTATTTTTTTTTGCTTTACAGTTAGAGTTGGTCTGCATAATTGTAAGTGACAGAAATTTTGGGGAAAGTCGATTATTTTATGGCTACTCTTTGCCAAAAACCACTTTATTTTTTAGTGTATATGAAGCTTAGTGTAGCTTGTAAATTATGAATAAACCCAACTCACTGTTTCCAGCCCTTGATTGCCCCTATAAGCATCAGAAAGTCTGATTGAGGGTGTGGAACAGGGGTCCTCAGACTTTTTAAACAGGGGGCCAGTTCACTGTCCCTCAGACCGTTGGAGGGCCGGACTATAGTTTAAAAAAAAAACTATGAACAAATTCCTGTGCACACTGCACATATCTTATTTTGAAGTAAATAAACAAAACGGGAACAAATACAATATTTGTATTTGCATGTGGCCCGCGAGCCGTAGTTTGAGGACCCCTGGTGTGGAAGGACCTGATACATCAAGGATAGTGGCTATTCTGATGTCTTGCACCCATTCCTTTGGAGGTGGATATAATTGCTACACAGAGAGGGTGAAGATTCCAGGGATATCATAAAAAGATTTTTGTGGCCTTTTTTTCAGTAATTAAAATAACAAACACAAGTAAACAGATAATAAACCAGTATGAACATTTTTCACTTATTCACTTAAGTTTGATACTTTTACTTTGCCTTTGACTAATCAGTATTATATACCTACTAATTGAAGTGGTACTATATATATAGGATGTGCCATGAGAACATAATCAGTTTACCAACTCTGGCATGAGATTTATTATAAGTAATAGAATGATATTATCTCTAGTTATTTTTAAATTGTATGGAAATGATTATACCATGCATGATAAAATTAAGAAACACAGTAAGTGCAATAGAATTAGATTACATGTAAGACTGTGAGATCTAAATAATACAGTTTAAGTGCATGTATAATACATATTTTATAACCTAAAAATATAATCAAATATGCTGTCAATATTCATAAATTTGGGCAGATGGCTTATAAAACTAGTAAAGAAAAATTTATAGTGAATATAAATATATATGACATATGTAGTGATTTAATGTAATTTAAATGTTAACAAGTAATACTTACAAACCTAGATAAAAGCAATTTATAATTATATATATATTGATTGACTTGGAAATTAATATATTGAAAGCTTAAATAGAATTTATTTTCAGTATAATTTAGTCTTGTCCTATGTGGGGTTTTAAGTTCTAAAGTTAGGGCATTAGGCCAAAGACATATATAATCAAAATATTCTTGAAAGTTCCTTTGGAAATCACATGATACCAACATACTACATAATAAAACTGACTGATGGTAGATGTACCCCATGCCATAAAAATTTACAGTCTGTATTTGGAACAAAGTGACTGGAAACTGGGACTGCGACATTATTCAGGTCTTGTTCATGCGCTTGTTCATTTCCTTGTACAAAAAGAAGAGAAAACCAACTAAAAAAAAAGATGATAGTTTTTTCTCCATCATTGGAACAGATGTTTTTCTTAAGCTGAGCATTAGATGAAATAGTTGGCTTGCATTTAAGGGCTATATTATAGAAATAATTAAACACTAGCAAAATAGCAATGCTGATAGCAAATTCTTCTATGACACTTATAAAACTACTAGAGGCCCAGTGCACGAAATTCATGCACTTGGGGAGGGGGAAGGAGAGTCCCTCACCCCGGCCTGCACCCTCTCCCAGTTCGGGAGCCCTTGGCGGGGAGCGGGCCTAAGCCGGCAATTGGACATCTTTAGTGCTGCTGTGGAGGTGGGAGAGGCTCCTGCCTCCACCTGCACTCACCAGCCTGAGCCCAGCTCAGGGCTTATGGCTGAGTGGCGCTCCCCCTGTGGGAGTGCACTGACCACCAGGGGGCAGCTCCTGCGTGGAGCATCTTCCCCTGGTGGTCAGTGCACATCATAGCGACCGGTTGTTCTGCCGTTCAGTCAATTTGCATATTAGCCTTTTATTATAGGATCTGCCAGGCACATATATTACATATATAAACTCATTTAATCTTTCCAATACCTGTAAGACAAAAATGTATTTTCACTCTCATTTTACAGATGAGAAAATTGAAGAACAGAAATTTTAAGTAATTTGTCCAGGGCCACACACAGCTGATGATGTTCATGCATCTAATCACTGTGCTAGCCTGCCTGTCCATAGTTCTGCTCATTATAGAGAGGTGCTTTTGCAGGTAGAGATATGCAGAAACAGAGACTAACCAAAAGAACAGGAGAGTTATCTCAAGTTTACTGTGGCATATTTTCATAAAATGTAATAATTAACATAACTTCTGCACTATTTAAAGTATTCCTCTTTTTAAAACTTAAATCATTGAGTAAGTTAAATACATGCATCATGTGACTCCATTGTAGTTAATGTGCTTCTTGTGACTTTATTCAAATTATTCACCTAAATTATTTTTTCCTTATGGGACAGACCTATACTTGAGCCAGCCTCTTCTTATATTGTCACAATTTCTATCTAGATTTTGCTGAAATTTAAAAAACAAACAATTTTGTTAGGGACAACTAGCTAATTTCACTAAAATAGGGGACTGCATTTTTTTTGCATGATGTGGATTGTAATGAGGCATAGCATTGTGAGTTAGTCAATCATTAATTCTCAACTGTAGTGCAATTTACTTAAATTCAAATGTTTATTAAATCCTATTATTTCTGATGAGTAGAATAACACTTTACCTTAAGTGTGACCACTAAGATAGTTTGAAAGTGACCGCCAGATGGAAAGGACCATAAATATTTTTGTCTGCTCACACTATTGGTTTCATTAAAATAATGCATTGGAAAGTACTAATATTCTTAGCCCATTTATTAGAAACAACCTAAAAATAAATTCAGAATATATAAGCAAGTATGATTAGTTTTAGAGATCTGCTGATAAACTGATAGTTCACCAACAATATCAGTCCCATCTACTTAAGCTTTGTATCTTTAATAAAGGGATTAGAAATATCCAGTGGAGATTCTATAAAATTAGATTCAGATAGGGCCAGGGATAGTGAGTCTTACCATATTTGGTTTCTCTGGGAGACTCACAGAATTATTCTTAGATGTGGAAGAGACTGGAGATCATATGGCTCAGTATTTTCACTTTATAGTAAGGTAGCAGGCCCAGTAAAGTTAAGTGACTTGCCATGGACCTATGAGACCAGAACCAAGTTCTCTCTTTCTTAGTTCAGTGTTTTCCTCTACAGCTATGCTTCTTTTCATATGTACTGAAAAAAAAAAATCTTTCAAGTGCCTCCAAATCAATTGCATTTTATTCTTATACTTAATTGTTGCCATTTTATAGATTAGGAAACAGCACTAACTTTATAGACTTGCCCCAAATCATATAGCCATTTACAGACAAAGGATCAAAACTAAGATTTTCTGACTCCTAACACTGTTCTCTTTCCATTATATTGCCTTCCCTTGAGTGAAGGGCTTTCTTCATACAGGTTTACATAAATAAGGAGGGGAGGATAAAAAGAATCAATTTTCTTTGCTTGAGGTTCCCTAAATAATCACTGTGCCTTGTAATTTTGTCACTAGATAACTGGAAATTTTCTTTCTTTTTAGGTAAGACAGATTCCCAAAATACTTAAATTTTTCTAAATAAGTGATTGGTTTTAGACATAAGGTTTTATTAGGCATTTTTTCAAATAAAATAAAATGAAACTCTAGTAATTCCTTTGACTTTTTTTCAGAATTGCTTCAGATAGCTGGAATTAGTCCACATGGTAATGCTTTAGGAGCATCAATGCAGCAACAGGTAAATCAACAAATGCCTCAGGAAAAACGAGGAGGTGAAGTATTGGATTCTGCCCATGATGACATAAAACTTGAAAAGAGTAATATTTTGCTGCTTGGACCAACTGGGTCAGGTAAATAACTTCCTGAAAAAATGTACTACTCATTTTAAAAAATAGAATGTAAATGATTTTGTAACCTGTGTTTTGTGATTGAGAGACCTTGGCTCTTGAGAAAAAAATCTAAGGCCAATCTTATTCATACATTATCAATATTTCTGCATAGGCTTCAAGCTGAATTTGAGACCTTGGTATTGCCCTTTAGGCCAGTTTCTAACATCTTATTAGGAATAATAAAAGTAAAATGACATTAGATCTGAATAATAGTGGAGAAAAGATGTAACAGTGATTTTCTTTTTTTTATAATTTTTTTTTTATTGATTTCAGAGAGGAAGAGAGAGGGAGAGAGAGAAACATCAATGATGAGAGAGAATCATTGATTGGCTGCCTCCTGCACACCCCCTACTGGGGATCAAGCCCACAACCTGGGCATGTGCCCTTGACAGGAATCAAACCTGTAACTCTTCAGGCTGTACCGACGCTCTATCCACTGAGCCAAACCGGCTAGGGCTCAATGATTTTCTTCTTATATACCATTCCAATTTATTTTGTATTTTAGTAGAAAATTTGTACTTCAACATATTTTCAGTAAACTTTTAGTTACTGTTTCTGTTTGTAGGTAAAACTCTGCTGGCACAAACTCTAGCTAAATGCCTTGATGTTCCTTTTGCTATCTGTGACTGTACAACTTTGACTCAGGCTGGATATGTAGGTGAAGATATTGAATCTGTGATTGCCAAACTGCTCCAAGATGCCAATTACAATGTAGAAAAAGCACAACAAGGTATGTTTTCAGAATAACTTGCTTGTCTATCCCCAGATGTAGTCTATTGAGGAAGCAGTCTAATATTCAGTAAGAGCTAATGTAATTATTATTTTGCATCGAGTAAAATTCTGTAATTACATATAAGTACCTATGTTAAATGTTTTCTAGTATACTGACTAAGGGCCACAAAGTTTGCTTTGTCCTATTGTCATTAGTTGATTACTAGGGTAAAAATTGGCTAAATTATTATTCTGTTAGATCCTTAATACTATCATTGTGTTTGCTGTTCTGACTCTCCTCCAGACTCTGATTGCTGGGGTGGGGAGGGGAAGATGAATCTAGAAACAGATTAGCCTGTTGCCCTATGGGATATCATAGATGCTGCATTTCTCCTTTCCCCATCTAGCATCTGTCCTTGTTTACATGAAGAGCTCGACAAATTCCTTTAAGACAGTAATATAGTTGGGAAAGAGTAAGCCAAAGTTTTACTAGTATCAGCACTACGTGTACCTCATGCTTCTAGAATCTACACTATGCCTCTATCTCAACTCCTAGAATAAAGAACCTGAAAACATGAGTGGGACAGACTGCTATTGTCAGAGAGAATTAGTTATCATACCCAAGTGATATTCTATAAAATGAATTATAAAACATTTGCACGAAATGATGAATGGGACAGATAGCAGTTCATGTTTATATATTTCTATATGTTAAGTGTGAAAGATTAAATAACCTTGCTCTCTGGCTACCTAGTATTTAAAAGCTGAGGTGATCTTGTGTATATCTTTTTCATATTATAAATAGACTCCTCCTTAAATTATAGGAATTGTCTTTCTGGATGAAGTAGATAAGATTGGCAGTGTGCCAGGCATTCATCAGTTACGGGATGTAGGTGGAGAAGGCGTTCAGCAAGTAAGCAGTTGAATATTTTGTTCAAGCCCACTAAAAGGAAGGGAATACATCAACCTCCCAATATTGTACGTTTGGTTTCATATTCAATTAGATTCTGTTTTGTTTATTTTTCCCACCCCCAAACTCCACATAACCACTTTAATGTACTTCAGATCCTAAGAGAAAGCTCTTGGCAATTTTAAATACCAAATAACCTTTCTTAGGAAATTGAAAATATTTTAAAGAACAGAAAAAAAGTAAAATTTAATTTCTGTTGGTTTTATTCCTCAAAGGCCCAGTTAAACATATTTAGAGGACTCTTAAAGAAAGTTCTGGTTCTAACTAGACACAGATGAACTATGTACTTGTATCTTATTCTTTTCAATTAGTTATAAGGTGTGATGAAATAGTGTTTCATTCCTTGTAGGGTCATAATTGAAGTCCTAATGATATGTTGGTCAAATGACCTTTTACTGGTAACAAATTATGACATAAATACAGGATAAGGAAATTGCTTTCTTTTTCTGACCAAGACATAGGTACAATCACAGTTAGAAGATGTGCTGGATAATTTTTTATAAAGGCATCTCAAAATATAGATATTCTCAAAGTTTAATACTAGGAGTATAATAAAATTTTTATTTATATGAAAGATAAATCTTTAACTATTTTCAAAATTTTGAATGTTCCTACAATGGTTGGGTACCATCTTAGAGGCATAATTCTGTCTTAATGTCAGAATTATGTCTTTACTATCAAAAACAACCTCTCAGTTGATTGATTTCTAAATGCATCAGGAGTCTCGAAACTATTCCAAATAAATTTATTAATTATTAATGTGATAGTGCATTAGATTTTCATGTTACTTCTAGAAATGGAGTTTTCTTTAGCTATGCTCATTGACTATAACCACATATTATTTTCCCCATTGAATCCCATTATCTAAAGTATAATAAATAATACACTTATATGATGATGCTAAAAATCATTCATTCTATAGGGCTTATTGAAACTACTAGAAGGCACAATAGTCAATGTTCCAGAAAAGAATTCCCGCAAGTTACGTGGAGAAACAGTACAAGTTGATACAACAAACATCCTGTTTGTTGCATCTGGTGCTTTCAATGGTTTAGACAGAATCATCAGCAGGAGGAAAAATGAAAAGGTAAGTTTTTCTGAGGAGTTACTGGGATACAGAACATTTGAAGTTACAGAGGATGGATACTCATTTTCTATTCTCATATGTGCTGGCTGCCAGTTGTGAATTTTAAAGAGTTAAGGTTTTCTTAGAGCATACCAGAAACATATTTCTAGTTTTTTAATTTTTTTATTTTAGAGTAGCAAATTAGAATATTTCTAAATATCATCCATGTACAGGATGTCCCCAAAAAATGTATACACACTTGGAATGATTAGTCAGTACTTATTAACATACAGTTCATTTTCAAAATGTAAAAGAATCTACAGAAATGAATGTTGTTTTTTTCGTCAGTGCCTGTTTTCAAACTGATGACTGTTCTGGTCCAGGCACAGCTGATAACATCTATACTAATAAAACGGTAATATGCTAATTAGACCAAGAGACTGGACATCTTCCTACTGTTTGACTTCCTTCCGGGCAAAGCCACAGTCGTGGGGGCCAAGGCAGAGGCGGTTAGGGGCAGTCAGGCCAGCAGGGGAGGGCAGTAGGGGGCCATGAGGCCGGCAGGGGAGGGCAGTTGGGGGCCATCAGGGAGGGCAATTGGGGGCCGTCAGGCTGGCAGGGGAGCAGTTAGGCGGCAATCAAGCCGGTAGGCAGGCAAGTGGTTAGGAGCCAGCAGTCCTGGATTGTGAGAGGGATGTCTGACTGCCAGTTTAGACCCCATCCCATGGGGCCTAAACCGGCAGTCGGACATCCCCCGAGGGGTCCCAGATTTGAGAGGGTGCAGACCCCCCCACCTCCCATACGAATTTTGTGCACCAGGCCTCTAGTGAAGCAATAGAATCTCAAACATCAAGAATCATTTCATTTGGTATTTGTGTGCCCTCAATTCATTGATTGTTGCTGGTTTTATACCATAAAACGTTATCTTTTATGTATCCTCATAAAAAAGAGTCTAGTGGCACTTCAGGAAAAATTTTCTTTGTTCAAAGCTTAATCTGACTTCACCCATTATTTCAAATCAGTTAAACCTGAAAAGGAGTGAAAAGTGAGTTATCAGCTGTTAAAGTGTGTATATATTTTTTGGGACTATATATATATTTGGACATTTAAAAAGTATAACTTGATTATATCAATTTTCTATTTCCTTTAAGGTGTTATTTTATTATTTGAGGTAGGTGTTGTATCAGTAAAATTTCTATTTATTCCTCTTACTCAATTCACTGAAGCCCAATAAAGAGCTGGTCTCCATTGCCCCTGCTGACAAATGGAAGGGAGCAATTTGGGGATTGGAGCAAGGGTTGTGAATCCCACATAGTTTTATAGATGTTTCCTGAATATTCTTATAAACCTTGATTTTTAACTGGAACTTATTTCTTCATATCTTCAAGGTACATGCCCCGTATCTATTTATTGACTGATTATAGTAAAATATAATAGCAAGATAGAAGCCCAAAAGACCTGTATTTTCCATGTGTTTTATATAATGCCTAGCCACAAATCATCCCTTTTACATAACATAACATTCTACCTAAATGAATATATCATATCAGCTCTTTGCTGTATCACTTGCTTTAAGTCTCTCTCCTTGGCTTTGCATGCACTCGTTTCAGTAGCAGTTTAGTAGTATAAAAATACAATGCTGCTAATGGAAGGGTTGCCTGTGGTAATCCCTTTGCATAGTCTAGATGAGAAAACTTTTGTACAAATACTAACAAAGCAATGTAATGCTGTTATTCCTCAGTACCAGGCCTTACTCAGCACGGATAGCATTTCCATATTCTTAATTGGTGTTTTTTTTTGCTTTTGAAATTTTGCATAAATTAGCCAAATAAATTAGAAAGATGTTATTTCTCTGTGTGTGTATGTGAGAGAGAGAGAAAGATAACTTTATATTTGAAATTCTGTAACCTAAGGCAGGGACAATGTTCTGATATTTATTTATAATTCATAATTTCAAAAGAGAATTTGAAGCTAAAATGTAGAAAAGAACAGTTAAAAGTAATATGAGAAAAGAGATGAGAAGAATATAGAAGGAAGGTTTGGGTCATATGAGGTCTTGAGGAGAGAGATTAAAAAAGTTTGTCATATAGATCTTTATGAAAATTCCTTTTCATAAGGGTCTTCAACTGTGATTTTACAGAGGATTAAACACATTTAATCCTAAACACATGTCTTTTGTTTTATCAACCCTCACTGAAAGCCAGGGTTACAATCTATCTATAATAATCTATAATAATAAAAGTGTAATATGCAAATCGACCAAATGGCCGAACAGCAGAACTACTGTCCAGACGAAGTCAGGGCTATGAGGGCCTACTCTTGCACAAATTTCGTGCATCAGGCCTCTGGTGTTAAAATAATATACTTTTATTCCAACCATATCAAAGTGCTTGTAGTCCTAAGTTTTATTCCTTGAGCTCATGCCCTCCACTACCTCAATCTAGTTGGCAAATATGTGTTCATCCTTAAAGACTAAGTCTGTTAAATGATTAGGCAATTCCTCTGTGAAGGCTTTCACCTCCTACCTTCACTCCCCTGCATGTGCCTTTTCCTCCTTTCCACTGCCATTGTTTGCTGTACAGTTGTTCTTTATTACATCTATGATACTTTAATACCTTCATGTGTTCTCACTCTCAATAAGTCCTTTTAGGGTAAGGACTGTGTTCAGGTTTGTATCGCCAGTGTTTTATAGAAATTCAGCGTTTCTCAACCTGTGGGTCGTGACCCCATTGGGGGTCGAACGACCCTTTCACAGGGGTCGCCTAAGACCATTGGAAAACACATATATAATTACATACTGTTTTTGTGATTAATCACTATGCTTTAATTATGTTCAATTTGTAACAATGAAATTGGGGGTCACCACAACATAAAGAACTATATTAAAGGGTCGCAGCATTAGGAAGGTTGAGAACCACTGTAGTAATTGCTTAATGTTTATACTTACATAAAAATATGTATACTTTTATTACTAGATATGCTTATATATGAAATATGCTTAATAAGTGTTTAAATTATTGAATGAAAGGTATTTTGCTTTCCTATACACTAACTGTTCATGTACACAGCTTGGAGAATCAGAGGAATTGATTTTTTAAAAATATGTTTTTATTGATTTTTTCAGAGAGAGAGAAAGGGAGAGGGATAGAGAGAGAGAAACATCAATGAGAGAGGAACACCATCAATCGGCTGCCTCCTACACATCCCCCACTGGGGATTGAGCCCACAACCCAGGCATATGCCCTGGCCAGGAATTGAACTGGTGACCTTTTGGTTTCTGGGTTGACGCTCAACTGCTGAGCCACACCTGCCAGGCCAGAGGAATTGATTTTTAACTTACTCTGTTTTCTCATACATCATGTGCTTATACTTTTGACAAAAGCTGTATGACGTCAAAATTAAGCTTTCTGATAATTACCTAGAGCAGTAGTCGGCAAACCGCGGCTCTTTGGCCCCTTGAGTGTGGCTCTTCCACAAAATACCACGTGTGGGCATGTACAGTGCGATTGAAACTTCGTGGCCCATGTGCAGAAGTCGGTTTTCGGCCTGGGCGAGTCTATTTTGAAGAAGTGGTTCGGAAGTGGGGGGTGTCGGTCGGTTGGGCGACGGGAGACACGGCGCAGGCGGGTTGTGGAATACGCAGCACCGGGGAGGTGCGCGAGATTCATGCACGAGTTGAGTGAGCCAGTCAGTCAGCAGTCTCATGTGCAGTGGTTAGTGCTAGTCGCGTCCACAAATCGCACGCTGGTGACAAAAGTACCTACTTGAAGCATAAAGTTACCTGTATTTTTCCAACCAGCTGCAAATCCTACAGGTATTTTTGTCATCAATTTAAGAATTGTAATTATTTTGTGTTGGTGACTTTATTATTATAAAATGAAACTTATCTGCTTAGAGGGGTTTAAATGCCTAACCTTGCTAAATAACTTCTCTCGCTTACTGTTTATTTCCTTCCTTAGCACTCATGACAACTACAATTATTTGATGTGACTATTTATTTATTTAAAGTTGATCTTCCTCACTAGAATGTAAGTTCCAGAAGGATGTCATGTTATCTCCAGCCTTAGACACATAATAGGCATTCCATAAATATATTAGTGTATTGAACTCATGTTGTTAATACTAAGTACTCAATCCAAAATTATTAATTAAGTTAATAACAGTGTACCTACCTATATAGTTTAAGCTTAAAAAATTTGGCTCTCAAAAGAAATTTCAATCATTGTACTGTTGATATTTGGCTCTGTTGACTAATGAGTTTGCCGACCACTGACCTAGAGTATAGTTCTTTTATATTGACTGAAGCAAGATCCATACACCTTAGAGGTCCAACCTTTTGCAGCAAACTTAGCATTCTTGTTTGATGTTATCCTTATGTGTTGTTTTAAAAATCGAATCTTAAATTATTCTAATTCATAGGTTGATATATGTAACCCCAAATCATGATTTTAATAGAATGCTTAGCAGTGACTTACGACCCTTATGGATAATTTTTTAAAAATACATTTTTATTTATTTCAGAAAGGAAGGGAGAGGGAGAGAGAGATAGCAACATCAGTGATGAGAGAGAATCATTGATTGGTTGTCTCCTGCACGCTCCACACTGGGGATCAAGCCTGCAACCCAGGCACATGCCCTTGACTGGAATCAAACCTGGGACCCTTTATTTTATTTATTTATTTATTTATTTATTAATACATGTGTTTTTGTTTGTATATTTTTTAAAAAATATTTTTTATTGATTTTTTACAGAGAGGAAGGGAGAGGGATAGAGAGTTAGAAACATTGATGAGAGAGAAACATCGATCAGTTGCCTCCTGCATGTCCCCTACTGGGAATGTGGCCGCAACCAAGGTACATGCCCTTGACCGGAATCGAACCTGGGACCCTTGAGTCCGCAGGCCGACGCTCTATCCACTGAGCCAAAGCAACTAGGGCTGGATAATTTCTTTATCACGCTGCTTGTTCTGAAGGCACTACTCCTGTTTAAAGTATTATAAAATTAACTTTGGTTACACAATAATTACCATCTCCATTTTCATAGTTCTTACCTATTTTGGAAATCACACTAGTTCACAGGTCTCAGAAAAACTCAAATATCATTATCTGAGTTCTAAGGACTTCTTACTTATCTACTTTACTAGAAATCATTCTTTGAGAGTTGGTTATTATAGGTTCTCAATTCTGAAGGTAGATAGACCTGAGTTCAAATCCTGCCTTTACCACTTCAGCAACAAGAGCTTTGACAAGGTATTTAATCTTTCTAGACCCATTTGCTTTATTTGTAAAATGTGAATGATGATAGAACTTTCTTCTGTTGCAAAGATCACATGAGACATGCATGCAAAGTACTTAGTACAATGCAACTTCATTCTGCTGTTTATAACATCCATCTGTTCTTTGGCAGTATCTTGGATTTGGAACACCATCAAATCTTGGAAAAGGCAGAAGGGCTGCAGCTGCTGCAGACCTTGCCAATCGAAGTGGCGAATCAAATACTCACCAAGACATTGAAGAAAAAGATCGATTATTACGTCATGTAGAAGCAAGAGATCTCATTGAATTTGGCATGATTCCTGAGTTTGTGGGACGGTTGCCTGTGGTAGTTCCTTTACATAGCCTAGATGAGAAAACACTTGTACAAATACTAACTGAGCCACGTAATGCTGTTATTCCTCAGTACCAGGCCTTATTCAGCATGGATAAGGTTAGATTTTTATTTTTCATACTTAGTTAATGTTTTTTGCTATTGAAACTGCATATATTAGCATCTATATATATAAAAGCCTAATATGCTAAGTGTCCAACTGTTTGTTTGACCAGTCGCTATGAAGCACGCTGACCACCAGAGGGAAGACGCTCTGACTGGTATATTAGCTTGCTGCTGGGGTCCCGCCGATTGGGACTGGGCGAGATGAGCCAGACATACCCTGGAGCCTTCCCGAGGTCCCTCCCCAGCCATGATCATGCACCGGTGGGGTCCCTCAGCCTGGCCTGTGCCCTCTTGCAATTTGGGACCCCTTGGAGGATGTCAGAGAGCCAGTTTTGGCCTCATCCCTGCAGGCCAGGCCGAGGGACAAGGGACCCCAATGGTGTACAAATCTGTGCTCCAGGCCTCTAGTAAAAAATAAAAAAGCAGCCCTGACTGGTTTGGCTCAGTGGATAGAGCATCGGCCTGCGGACTGAAGGGTCCCAGGTTCGATTCTGGTCAAGGGCATGTACCTTGGTTGCGGGCACATTCCCAGGAGTGGGTGTGCAGGAGGCAGCTGATCGATGTTTCTCTCATCGATGTTTCTAACTCTCTATTCCTCTCTCTTCCTCTCTATAAAAAAGCAATAAAAACAATAAAAAATATAAAAAAATAAAAAAGCAGTCATATTCATCTGGAATACCAGCCTATTCCTCATTAAATATAGATCTTGAATCAGGGAAGGTACATTTTATTATATTAGACATTTATGAGTTGGCTTTATTTGTCACAATTAAAATCTTCATTGTAGTTTAAAGTTTAAAGATAAATAAATATATATATACTAGAGGCCCAATGCATGAAATTCGTGCAAGAGTAGGCCTTTCTTCCCCCTGGCTGCCGGCACCAGCTTCCCTCTGGCACCCGAGACCCTGGCTTCCCTCTGGGCGCAGGCAGGCACCCGGGACCCGGGCTTCCCGCGCAGCCCCAGCTTCATCCGGAAGATGTCCTGTCTAATTAGCATATTATGCTTTTATTATTACAGATTATTCCAGCAGCCTACTCTAAATCCCTCAAGCCAGACACAGTAATCTCTAAATAGTAGTCTCCTCTCCATTGCCTTGCCACTACCTCAACTCAAGCTCCTTTGTCTTGACCCATGCATTTGGTCTCTAATTGGTCAGTTTCCCTGTCTCAAATCTGTTTATGACCATCACCACCATCATTATCTTCCACTTTACTTCCAGATCGTACCGTTTTTAAATTATTAAGCACAGTGCCCAGCAAACAGCTATTAAGTTCTTAATAAATATTTATTGAATGAGTAAACACAAAGCTAATTAATTATCTTACACCCCTCCTTAAAATCCTTCTTGGTCCCCTGGTCTTATTTAGATGCCCCCACTTTGGTGCTCCCTTAGCACAATGTGCATACACTGTGTTGTAAATGGTGGTTTGCTAAGTTGTCACCACCTAGTAGAGTAAGTTCTTTGAGGTCAAAGAGAGTGTCTCATTCATCATTTAGTCTCTAAAATATAATCACATAAGGGGTTCAGTAATTGTTGAATGAAAGTCCATGTTAATCTAGAAAAAAAACCTTTTCAAGAATTAAGGACAAAATAGGTTAATTGATAGAAACAAGTGGTGGGGGGGTTTTTGTTGTTGTTTTTTATCTTAGAGAGAGGAAGGGAGGGAGGGAGAGAGAAACATCATTATGAAAGAAAAACATTGCTAGATTGCCTCCCACACGCGCCCCAACCAGGGATTGAACCTGTGACCTGGGCCTGTGCCCTGACCAGAAATCAAACCCGCCATCCTCTGGTGGATGGGACGACACTCCAACCACCTGAGCTATACAGGGCAAGTGGTGCTTCTTGAAGGCAAGGTTCTAAAAAACCATGAGAGACAAATGTCTCACTTAAATTTTATGTTTTCTGGAGGTAGAAATTAATAACAAAAGATGCTTAATACTAAGGTTTTATAAAATTTATGTTCCAAAGTACTTTGAAAATGTCTTGGGGGTATATTCTCAATAATTTGAACTCTATTTGGAAATGCGTGGTAATTTAGAGAGGCTTATCTAAAGTTTAGTAACACTCTTTAAAATGTATGTTTTCTAGTAAGAAATTGAGAGTCTAAAAATCCTTTATTCTGAAAGGGGATAGATAGGGTCAGTCAAAACATAAGATTCTGGCCCTGTATTTCTAAGTGAATCAGTGTACTTACCCCTCTGACTCTTTCTTATCTGTAAAGTCTAGGCATTGGTTCCTTTTTGTTCTAAATAGACTAGTAATGGTGGTAGGTAGTAACAGTTAATAGATCAAATGCTATATGGTTATATTAGGAAAATATCACCAAGTATTATCTAAGTTCTTACTTCTTTTAAATCTATTTTTAGTGTGAACTGAATGTTACTGAGGATGCTTTGAAAGCTATAGCCAGATTGGCACTAGAACGAAAAACAGGTGCACGAGGTCTTCGGTCCATAATGGTAAGTTGGTGTTGTTATTACAAAAACTAGATTATTTATTGATCTTAGTTTTGAGAATATTAATACTCCATGTTTTTCCTTTGGAAATATATCCAGAGAGTTGCCCAAGTGCTTTTGTGGTTTTTTTAAATTGTCATAGTAGATTATATTTTTCTTCTTTCTAAAAAGAAACTTTAAGATATTTGCAGCAAAGGATACACATACTATAATTAATGAAATAGAGAAAAATCAGGTTCAAGGGAGGGAGTATTTCAGAAAATTCTACACAGGCCTTTGGACTAAGCCCCAGAGTGCCTTTTCAGACCCATTGAAATCCTCATTTTTGTGTTTGTTTGCTTGAAATTTATTTGCAAATACCTTGATCCTATACCACTAAATTTTTTAGTATGGTATGAACTTTTTTTTATTTTGTAACAAATCCTAGAGACCCAGTCTGTTTTCAGCCACAACCCACTTTCTTCTTTAGAGCTCTCTCCCCTACCTGCACAGTCTGGCTGTACAGTGTGTTACTATTTCCCTACATACTTCCAAAGCAAGATCATGTTCTTATTTTCTTTTAAGGATTTCACTGCTAAATATTACTTCTTCATCTCAGTAGGACATTTTGAGATTATACAGTCAAACCTCGTTTCTCGAATATATCCCATCTTGAACATTTCAGTTCTGGACCAAACTCACAGAAAAAAATGTCTTGGTTATCAAACCAAACTTCATTTTTAGACCTGACAACCCTTTCATGCTGATACCGCAGCATGACAAAAAGTGTCTCGAAGGCAACAAACAGAATACTTTTGTTGCTGGCAGAAAAACAATTAGCACAATTTTAAAGCATAAAGAGGCCAAGAGTGCTCATGTTGCTAAGGGTGTGAAAGAAGCATTGAACACAGGCAATTGAACAGGTAGAAAAACTTGTTGATTTGGATAAATGAAAATTAGTTAGCCAGTGACAGCATTTAGGAGGCAATGATATATGAACAAGCAAAAATGCTGCATACAGACCTGAAAGACACCCCTGGAACAAGTGCTGAAAGTGGTTCCTTTAAGGTTAGTAGGGGGTGGTTTGATAAATTGAAGAAGTGTTTATTTATAGATTAAACAGTACATCATGTACTGTATATAAGAAAGGATAAAATGGAATCATTTGGGGGTCTGGAATGGATTAATTCAATTTGCATTATTTCTAATGGGAAAAAATGATTCTGTTTTTTGAATAAGTCACTTCTTGAACAACCTTCTGGAATGAATTAAGTTTGAGAACCGAGGTTCTACTGCACTAATGAAGGCCTAGACTTTAGGTGCTACTGATTAAGGACAGATTTATATAAAAAATGCACACTAGAAAAGTAGGTGATAGCATTGACATTTTAAAAGAAATTTGTTGTACTCAACCAATATTTATTATACAGTGCTTGACATTAATGTTACCTACACAAAAATTAGGTTTTTGTTTTAACTGTCACAAGGTATGTTATATTTGATGTTTGCTTATCTTCTGAGATAACTTAAGAGGCAGTTGATTGGTTTTGAACAACTTTAGTTATTCAAAGAACAATCTTTTATTGTTGTTTTCAAATGACATTACTATATAAAGGAATTGTGGTAGTCTGATCATAATTTTGATTAGTTTGAGTCAAGTCAGATTTGGTCAGATTTTCCTTAAAATGGAATATAATCCAGCCCCAACTTGTAGGTGAAACTAGTTTCCTTTAGTAAAGTTTTCTTTAATATGTTTTTATTGATTTTTATTTTATTTTTTTGAGTGAGCGGGAGGGAGAGGAAGAGAGAGATAGAAACATCAGTGATGAGAGAGAATCATCAGTTAGCTGCCTCCTGCATGCCCCCTATTGGGGACATGCAACCCAGGCATGTGCCCTAACTAGGAATCGAACCCTGACCTCCTGGTTCATAAGCCAGTGCTCAGCCACTGAGCCACATCAGCTGGGCATTAGCAAACAACTTTAAATCTGAAGCACTTGAGACAAAAGCTTATTTGAAGTCATGGTAAAAATTGAAGAGCCTGGTAGAGATGATTTAGGAATAATCATTTTTGAAGTAAGACTAATCATAGAATATGTCAGGAATGCTTTTGAGAGACATCCAAATCCAAAAGTATGTAGTCCTTTTGTATGTGCATGGTGACCTAAGTAGGCAGAAGTACAGACAAATAGCCTTCCCTTAAAGAATGACTTCTTTCTGAATTTATTTAGAAGCTGTTTTAATATGAATATAAAAACTTTTACATTGACTTTTTCAACTTTCAGTTCCTGGTACATAAGAGGACTCAGTAATGTTTACTGAGTTAATGACTTTGATTTGTGGCCTGTGGAATACAAGTATGTTACATGTAACCTCAGTTTTCCATGCCATTCATTACTTTCTGTCTTTTTAGGAAAAGCTATTATTAGAACCAATGTTTGAAGTCCCTAATTCTGATATTGTATGTGTGGAAGTTGACAAAGAAGTAGTAGAAGGAAAAAAGGAACCAGGATACATCCGGTAAGGTGTTCTGTCAAGCTAGAACAGCTCTAAAATTTAAGATCAGCTCTTCAGTGCTATAATTTATTGGTTTGTCATAAAAATTGCATAAAAATCCTTATATTCATAAGAGAAGCAATAATCATAACTTTTCTGTAGAAAAATGTTCTCATTTTGGTTTATAAAATATTTTGTGAGTCTTTTGAAAATTGATCTTCAAAATTGGCCTCTACTTTTTCCATTAAGGAAGAAGATTTAGAGAGACATAAAAGTAATCCAAATGAAAAAATTTAAGTGAACTTTACTGCTAATTCTGTAATTTGTTAATGATTTGTTTTATGTCTTTCACAAGACCAAAACTTTGTGGACATAATTTTTCTCTCATTTGTATCATATCAGTTGACAAATTTGATACATCTTTCATTGCTTTATCTATTCCAGGGGTCAGCACACTTTCTTGTAAAGGGCAAAATATTATAGGGCCATACAGTATGTATTTGCAATTACTCACAGTGTGATAACAGCTATAGACAGTTTGTAAATGAATGAGGATGTCTGTATTACTCTAAGTCTTTATTTACAAAAACAGATGCTGGGCCTGTAGGCTGTAGTTTACTGACCTGATATATTCAATAAATATTTATTATTTAGTGCTTGACATTAATGTTACCTACACAAAAACTAGATTTCTGTTTTAACTGTCACAAGGTATGTTATATTTTATGTTTATCTTCTGAGATATTCAAATAACAATCTTTGATTTTTAACAACTTTCGTTATTCAAAGAACAATCTTTTGTTTTTGTTTTTAGATGACATTACTATATATTAGTGGTCTAATTAGTGGAATTGTAGTGGTCTGATCATAATTTTGATTAGTTTGAGTCAAACCAGATTTAGTCAGAGCTTCATCTTCTTTACCATAGACATATGCTAAAAGTCAAGCATTTGAGTTGAAATAATAGGTTCTAGCTACTTGCTGGAAAAATGGATTTTTAAAAAAATCCTTACCTGGGGACATGTTCATTGATTTTTAGAGAGAGGGGGAGGGATGGGGGGGAGGTGTCGGGGTTCTTGTTCCAGCATTAAGAAGGGTTCAGGAAATCTGGAGAAGGCTGTGTGTAGATTAAATAGGAGTCTGAAGACAAAGCATAATTTTGAAAGGCATTTGGGGGTCAGAGGAGCTTAGCTTAAAGGAAGCTAAGATCTAAGTTCTAAGGTCTAAGTTCTAAGTTCTCCTCGTCTCAGGACCCCATGCTTTTTATTAACACAACTTGTCCTGAGGTGAGGCAGAGATATACACTTCAAAGGGTATACACAAGCATTGTCAGAATGGGGGAATTAGCCTACAGCTGTTCAGGTGTTTGGCCAGTAGGAGGCAATAACATGTAGATTAAGATGCCCTTTAGCTGTCTGGCAGCCAAGCAATCATCCCTTTTCAGGTTTGGGGAAATGCCTTTAGCCATTCCCAACAGATGATTACATATGTGTGACTCAACCCTGTTGAGTCCCCAAGTTCCATCAACCTTTTGATGAAACTCTTGAAATTATGACATGCTAGAATTGGTTTCCAGCAGGGAGGGAGAGAGAAAAGGAGAGAGAGAAAGAAAGAAACATTGATGTGAGAGAGAAATATCGATTGGTTGCCTCCTGTATGCACCCCAACCAGGGATCAAACCTGTAACCTACGTATGTGCCCTGACCAGGAATTGAATCCACAACCTTATGGTGCACAGGACAACACTAACCAACTGAGCCACACTGGCTAGGGCAAAATGGATTTTTTAAAGCCTTGTTGTCAATTTATTTCAGTAATACATTTGGTAAGGAAAATGTTGAGCCTAGAAATCATGTTTACTCCTCATTTTTATTTAAAAAAACATGTTTTTTTATTATAGGGCTCCAACAAAAGAATCCTCTGAAGAGGAGTATGATTCTGGAGTTGAAGAAGAAGGATGGCCTCGCCAAGCAGATGCTGCAAACAGCTAAACTGTCAGACTTTTGTCCTGTATATAAAGCTTTCCTTCTGTGTTTAGGATCATAACTGTCTCTGCAGTCTGACATTAAAAGCATTGGATCTGTCTTGGATATCATACATGGTCAGAAGCCTTTAGAATAAAAATCAGATCATGTATATTAAGTAACATCACATTGATTGGTACAAAAGACTCTATGTGGACTTTAATGACACAGTTTCAGCGATAAAATGTACATTATTTTGGTTCAGTTTTTTTAAAAAAAAAAGCTAAAACAAAATTCTAAGGAGTTCTTTTAAGCAATGCAGATGTTGCAATAACTATTTTACAATAATGTTACTCTACAAATGGGAAAATAAATTCTTTAAAATTGAAGATCGAGATACCATTCTTTAATCTTTTTTACCCTTATTTGTTTCCTGAAAATATTAGAATTTTATTTATCTTAAACATTTTAACTACTTGGAAACTATGTTTAAGATTTTTTTTAAAAATATATTTTACTGATTTTTTACAGAGAGGAAGGGAGAGGGATAGAGAGTCAGAAACATCGATGAGAGAGAAACATCGATCAGCTGCCTCCTGCACGCCCCCCAGTGGGGATGTGCCTGCAACCAAGGTACATGCCCTTGACCGGAATCGAACCTGGGACCCTTGAGTCCGCAGGCCGATGCTCTATCCACTGAGCCAAACCGGTTCGGCAAGATATTTTTTATCTTAAACATAGTTTCCAAGTAGTTAAAATTTTCATGGAAAAAGTATCCTGAAGAACCATATTTTAACTATTTGTTTAGCTGTATTCTTATTCTTACCTGCTAAGCATGACACTAACTTCCCAAGTGGTACTATAAGAAAGGCCAATCTCTTCTGACTTTTCTGATTTATTTGCCATCTTTAATGCATTTTAGTACCAGGAGTGAGCAGATGGAATTGAAGTCTGCCATAAATCTTCAGAAAAAGACTACGTCTAATACTAAAAGTAGCATGCAGCATCAGTCATAATAACAGCCATGTGCTGAACTAAATAAAATATCTTAATATTGTGCATTTACCTAAAATACTCAGCTAATTTTTGTTTTGTTTTTCTGTGTGCTGGATATTTGTCTAATTTTTTGGCTTCATAGAACATTAAAGAAAACTGCTTTGCTATCAGCATAAGTTAATGTGGTCACACTACAATATAAGTTATTAATCCTTGTTAGAGGGTGGGGCAAAGGATTTACAGTTCATATGGAAAATAATTACAATATAATAATAAAAGCATAATATGCTAATTAGACAGGGTGTCCTTCTGGACGACCTTCGGATGAAGCAGGGGCTGCAAGGGCAGAGCCCCTTGCACAAATTTTGTGCATTGGGCCTCTAGTTAATAAATAATAATACAAGAGTAAACTGTTCCACATACTCACAACTGTAAACCTATTTTTGCCCCAACCTGCATAAAATTAAACAGTGGGGGAAATTTGGGGGACTTAAAAATGAAAATTACTTGTTTGCATAAATATTAAATTATTTGGGTACCTTTTAAGCTTTTTCTTCCCTTCTATAATATTGATGTAATTTTTTATACTATTCAGTTCAAACTTATTTGAAATTGTTTAAATCAAAGTACATTGAAATGTTTGTTTTTATTTTTTGGTTTATAGACTTTTTCCTTTTCCTTTTATCCCCTTTTTCTCAGGAAGAGAACCTTAAGCTATTAGCAAATTCTAAATCCTGTTAATGAAGAGTTGGGCTTTCTATGATGTAATAAGGGATGTGAGATATCGATGGCTGAGGTAGAACCAGAAATGCACTTTTGCAGAGTGTTTAAGTCCGACTGCTATAGTGTGGAACAGAAACAAGTATCCTTGTTAGTCTCCATAGGAATGGTTAAGTTTTTCTCAGGAAGTCTTTCATATTATAACTGTTCATTATCTTTCTCTTATGACATCATTATTTTCCTTTTTGTAGAGTGAAAATTGAAGTAGCTACTAAATATATTAAGAGTAATCCTCCAGAAATGGACTCGGAGACGTTTTAGTCACAACAACTCACATTTGGTTTGGAAGTTGTTAACAAAACAATCAATGTTTTTAAATCAAACTCAACTGAGTATAACTACGGTTTGTATCTTGAAACTTATGTTTTGGCATTTGAATAAAACAAAAGGACTAAATGAATGCCATTGTGGTGGTGTGTCCATAATGCAGTGCCATTTTTAAAAGGACACAGATATCTGAGCTGCTTTATTTCAATGTTTACTTAATCCTTGGCACTTTCATAACCTGCTAATTGTCCTAATTTAAATTCCACAGAAAAAAAGACTTTTTAAAGTTTATGTTAAACATCTATTGAAAATCCTTACATATCCTGCATGGGTCCCACACTAGGGACACAGACCAAGCTTTTCAAGAAGATTACTAGTCTACTAGGGGAAGCAAACACAAATATAAATATCAGTGCATTATAATAATGGAAGTGAGGTAGGTGCCAGGTGTGGTGCATATAAAGAGTAGTGGCCCAGATGATCTGGAAGAGCAAGTATGACTTTTCCAGAAAAGAGTAATGAAAATATCAGAAATTTTAATTACTAAGGAGCTTTAGGAGTTGAGAAATAAGCAACAAGTATGACTTCACATTGCTGCTGAGATGACTATGTAATATATTTTCCCCCTTCTCCATTCAACTGAAGACTTTGCCTCGTATTTCATTGAGAAACCATCAGAAGATGAAAGTCATCTTCCCAGACAACTGCCTAGTACTTCCTATCCTGTAGCAAACCTCCCAAGTTTATTTTTCACTTGTCTTTCTGACTACACATGGTGAAGACAATGCCTATTTAATTAAAACATCACCTACCAAAGTGATTGGTGAATTTGGTGCTCCATACATTTTAAAACAAGTAACAGAATATCTTGTATGCCAGATTAACTACTTCTAATTTTATGCAGAAAGGAGAAGGGACCTAAAAGGGTTTTAAGTAGCTTCGGCCAGTGTGGCTCAATTGGTTAAGCATACTCCTATACACCGAAGGTCACTGGTACAATTCCTGTCAGGGCACATGCCTAGGTTTCGGCCTTGATCCCCAGTTGGAGTGCATGTGGGAGGCAGCCAATTTATATTTCTCCTCAAAAAAAAAAAAAAGAGGTGGGAGTTTAAGTAGAAAAGTTAGACATTAGATGTGTTTTTATTCCCCCGCATTTTTAAAAAATATATTTCTTTATTGATTTCAGAGAGGAAGGGAAAGGGGGAGAGAGAGAGAGAGAGAGAGATAAAGGGTGTCCCAAAATTCACGCAAGAAGTAATTTTGATAGAAAACACAGGTTTATAATTAAAAATTGTAAATTTTTTATTGATTCATAAAGTATACAGTATAGGGTTATGTATGGAATAGCATATCAGGTAAATAGCATCCACGGCTTTGTTGGCACATACGCACTCTTGTTGAAATTTTCCATGACCGTTTTGCATAAATGTGGCTGAATTTCGATGAGGCTCATTTTCATCTTGATGGCTTGGTTAATCGACAAAATTGTTGCATTTGGGGTTCAGAAAATCCACGAGTGATTGTTGAGAAACAAATGCATCCACAACGTGTCACTGTTTGGTGCGGATTTTGGGCTGGAGGCATCATCAGACCATTCTTCAGAAATGCAGCTGCTCAGGCAATAACAGTTAATGGTGCTCGCTATTGCGATATGATAATCCAGTTTACCCGATATGCTATTCCATACATAACCCTATACTGTATACTTTATGAATCAATAAAAAATTTACAATTTTTAATTGTAAACCTGTGTTTTCTATCAAAATTACTTCTTGCATGAATTTTGGGACACCCTTTAGAAACATCAATGATGAGAGAATCATTGATCGGCTGCCTCCTGCACACCCCCCACTGGGGATCAAGCCCGCAACCCAAACGTGCCCTTGGCCGGAATCGAACCCGGGACGCTTCAGTGCGCAGGCTGATGCTCTACCCACTGAGCCAAGCCAGCTAGGGCAATTCCCCTGCATTTAAAAAAAATTTTCTTTATGGTTGAAAGTATTATATATGTCTCCTTTCCCCCACATTGACCTCTCCCAGCACTGTGCTGGCTCCCACCTCCCAGCACAGGCCCTCACCCCGCTATTGTCTGTGTCCATTTGATTATGCCTATATGCATGCATATAGGGTTTTGGTTGATCTCTTACCCTCCCCCCAACCTTCCCTGCTTTCCCTCTGAGGTTTGACAGTCTGTTTGATCCTTCTATGTCTCTGGACCTATTTTTGTTCACCAGTTTATGATCATTTTATTCCACAAATGAGTGAGATTATGTGATACTTATCTTTCTCTGACTGGCTTATTTCACTTAGCATAATGCTCTCCAGGTCCATCCATGCTGTTGCAAGTGGTTAAGAGTTCTTTCTTTTTTACAGCAGTGTAGTATTCCATTGTGTAGATGTACCACAGTTTTCTAATCCACTCATCTGCTGATGGGCACTTGGGCTGTTTCCAGATCTTAGCATTGCAAATTGTGCTGCTATGAACATAGGGGTGCATATATTCTTTCTGATTGGTGTTTCTGATTTCTTGGGATATATTCCTAGGAGTGGGATTACTGGGTCAAATGGGAGTTCCATTTTTAATTTTATAGATGATAGAGGAGCAAGGATTGAATCACAGACATGTGGGACTATTATAATAAGCCTGCCAGATGATAATGGATTGGACTAAGGCGATAACAATGGAAGTGAAGAGTAGATGGGTACCTATTTTTGAAAATCTGATAAAAAGTGGTATTCCCATGTTGTTCAATGGGGAAACTCAGTATTATAAAGATGTCTGTTACCCCTACATTAATTTATATATTTAATGTTCCAATAAAACACTGGTAAGGTTTTAAATTAAAATTGACAAATAGATCTAAAGTTCATATGGAAAAGTAGGTTAGAATGGTAAGCAAAATGATAATGTGCACTCATATTGTGTTTACTCTGTGTCACTGTTCATGTAGTGCAACAATTCTATTAACCCTTTTTATAGATGAAACTGAAGTCCAGTGGTTAAGTAGCTTTCCCAAGGCCACACAACTAGTAACAGGATTTAATCGCAGGCATATTGGTTCTAGGGCCTCTCCACTTAACCAAGAGGTGCTGCCTATTCTATTAAAAAAAAATTATAGCTTCACAAGTTTAAGTGCATACCAGTGTATGAATGAACAGACATCAAAGGAAAATAAAGTTCAGAAATAGACCCCAAATATATATGGGAATTCAATATTGGAAATGGTATTTCAAATTAGGAAAAGAATCCTATCTAATAAAGAGGGAATATGCTAATTGACTGCCATGCCTCACAAAATGGCAAAGAGGGAATATGCTAATTGACTGTCACACCTTCACAAAGATGGCGGTGCCCACGGCCACAAGATGGTGGTGCCCAGTCCCCTCAGCCCCGCCTCATCCAGCCTCAGTCCCCCAGTCCCCTCAGCCCCGCAGGGGAAGGCAGTTGGGGGCGATCGGGCTGGCAGGGGAGGGCAGTTGGGGATGATCATGCCAGCAGGGGAGCAGTTAGGCGTCAATCAGGCCAGCAGGGGAGCGGTTAGGGGGCTATCAGGCTGGCAGGCAGAGTGGCTAGGGGCAATCAGGCAGGCAGGCGAGTGGTTAGGAGCCAGCAGTCTCAGATTGTGAGAGGGATGTCCGACTGCCCCGAAGGGGTCCCAGATTGGAGAGGGTGCAGGCTGGGCTGAGGGACACCCCCTGCCCCTGTGCATGAATTTTGTGCACCAGGCCTCTAGTATTCAATAAATGGTAATGATAGCTGAGTATCCATCTAGAACAGCGGTTCTCAACCTGTGGGTCGCGACCCCTTTTGGGGTCGAATGACCCTTTCACAGGGGTCGCCTAAGACCATCGGAAAACATATATAATTACATATTGTTTTTGTGATTAATCACTATGCTTTAATTATGTTCAATATGTAACAATGAAATTGGGGGTCACCACAACATGAGGAACTGTATTAAAGGGTCACAGCATTAGGAAGGTTGAGAACCACTGATCTAGAAAATATAGGGTGTCAAAAATGTATATACACACTTAGAATAATTATAAAGGCAGTGTTCATTAAAATACATTTCATTTAAAAAATTGAGCTATTAGCTGTTAAAATGTATACATTTGGGGGATACCCTATATAAAGTTAGAGTCATGCCTTACCTAATACATTTTAAGATAAGCCTTTAAATGTTATGCAGAGTATTACAAGTTACTTAATACATAAGATACAAGTAAATATGTAGAGTATTACAAAGAGTTTCTGAGAAATATGAGAGGTCTTTTGGGAAGTGGGGTCAGGCTTTGATTGGTTCTTTTCATGGGACAGAGCTGGGCTCTTACCCAAGAGGGCATCCATTACTTTTGCTTTAAAAAGTAAGGTTCTGCCCAGCTGGTGTGAGTCAGTGGTTGAGTGTTGACCCATGCACCAAGAGATCACTGGTTTGATTCCCAGTCAGGGCATATGCCCGAGTGGCAGGCTCGATCCCCAGTAGGGGGCAGCCAATCAATGATTCTCATCCATGTTTCTAACCCTCTCCCTTCCTCTCTGAAATCAGTAAAAATATATTTTTTAAAAAACACTAAACATACAACTGCTATATGACTCAGCAGTTGCACTCTGGGCATTTATTCCAATGCAATGAAGGTTTATGGTCACAGAAAAACCTGCATACAAATTTTATAGCAGCTTTATTCATGATAGCCTCAAAGTGGAAATATCCAACAAGTGAATGATTAAACCAAGTGTGGTTTAACTTTACCCGCTCTCTTTTTGCACACTTTTATTGCAATAAAAGGGAACGCTATCAATACAACCACCTGGATGAATCTCCAAAGGATTATACTGAGTGGAAACAGGGAGTCCCAAAGGTTATGTTCTATATGATTGCATTTATATAATATTCTTGAAAGGACAGAAGTTACAGAAATGGAGACCGGGTTAGCAGTTGCGGTTAAAGGGAAGTGGGTGTGACTATAAAAGGGCAAATGAGGGATCCTGGAAATGATGGAAATAAATGTTCTGTATCTTGACTATCAATGCCAACATCCTGGTTGTGATATTGTACTACAGCTTTGCAAGATATTACTTTGTGGAGAAACTGAGTTAAGAGTACACAGGATCTCCCTGTATTTTTCTCACAACTGCATATTTCTTACAATGATCTCAAAATAGAGTTTAACTTAAACAACAACAACAATCATGTAGCTTAAAATCCCCCAGTAGTTTCCCATTGTTCTTAAAATAGGAGATCCTGGACGCTATATCTCTGTCCACGCCAGGATCACCAGGCTCCCTTCAGGCTTTCTGTGCTCCATCCGCTCTGACATTCTTTCAGTTCCCCCGCTAAGCCTACTCCTACCAACTAGGGGTATTTTGCAAATGCTGTCCTTATCTGAACCGTGTTGCCCTCTCTTCTATTTAACTCCTACTTATCCTTCAGACCTTAAACGAAGCCTGAAGTCCTTGGGACAACCTTTCCCCAACCTTTCTAAGTCAAATTGTCCTATAAGCTCTTCTTGCTCTGCGCTCTCCTCTTCGGTAGTACGTATATTCACCGCGGCACTTTCACAATTGCTTGCGTCATTACTTGATTAACGTGTTTTCTTTACTCGACAGGTAGTTCCACAGGAGAGGATCTGTGTCCGTTAGTCTCGCTGTCTGCAAAGCAGCTGGCTTCACACCTAAAATGATCATTAAGAACATGCCCGAGCCGGTTTGCCCCGGGCAGGGCTCGTGCAGGAGGCAACCGATGGATGTGTTTCTCCCACATCGATGCTTCTCTCTCTTTTTCCCTCTCCTTAAAAATCAAAGGAAAAACGGGTGAGAATTAAAAAAAGAAGAAAAAACGAATAACAAAAAAAAGAACAGTATTTTTTTAAAAAAAGGAACAGTATTAATTGAAGGATTGAATGAATGCCCACCCACGCGCCGGGCGGGTCACACCGGCGTCGCGCGTGGCATACGTCACTTCCTCCCGGAAGACACTTTCTCGGGAGACCATCAGATTCCTGTCACTTCTCAGAACCCTCCGGTGGTGGCCATGGCTCTGCCGCCCTTCTTCGCCCCGGGTCGCCCGGGCCCGCCGCCGCCGCAGCCGCTGCCGCCCGCTCCCTTTGGCTGTCCGCCGCCGCCGCTGCCCTCGCCGGCTTTTCCGCCGCCTCTTCCCCAGCGCCCGGCCCCTTTCCGGGGGCCTCCGCCCCCTTCCTCCAGCCCCGCTGGCTGAGCGCCACGGCCGCCTGGGGGAAGTTCCCGGGGGGCGGCTTCAGGCCTTCAACCCGGTGCCCCCCCTGCGATGCTCCGCCTCGGCTCCGGGGCGGCATTTTCAGGGGGAACAAAGCCGTAGGGGCTGGGGTTAATGTTTGGGCCCGGTGCTTCTTGGAGTCGGTTTGATCGGAGTGGTGGCCACTCTCCTTTGTGAACTTTTTGCAACTATTCATTTCGAAATATCGTTAAAGAGGGCAGAGGTCGGCCAAGTGATCTGCGTGTGCATCGCGTGTG